CATTTTGACACTTATTTTAATTCTGTTCACCTAACATAGGGCTCAAATCAACATGTCTGGTACCTACTCATGTTTTAACAATAGATCACCAATAAAGTAATCCTAAAACTAATTGTGATAAAAGTCTAAGGTTTTTATGTTGTGGTAGATTTATTTATCTTTTTTAATATTTAGTATTACTAACTGGTAAAAAGTGGGTGTAGGTACACAAAGCACCGTTAATTAGTTAGCGGCGCTACACATCGACACAACTATCATTTACACAATATACATGTGTGGGTAATTTCATATCAATAGATATGTATAGAAACAATCGTCTATCACACACATCTTGGTATTTAAAAATCATTTTTGTGTCGGTATACGCAATAATTTAGTAAATAAGTTTAAATAAAAACGAGGGTAAAGATAAAATTACTCATAACAAACTTTGAATAAATCGAAATCAAAAATAATGAACGATCGAGCTATACAATACCCATATAAATATAGTGCTTTCTCATTGTAATTTTATGTTACTGAATGATATAAAATATTTCGATGATCTCATCTACAGCGCGCTTGGCGCAATGGTTATCGCCTCCAATTGTCAAGTAAAGTGCCGCCGGATCGATTCCAACATTCACATGTTGTTTTAGAATTAATTTATCAAATATTTGAAATTTGAAATTTGAAATTAGAAACAATTAAATCTTTTCTTTTTTTTCCTTTCCTATTGTTCTAAATCTTATGTTAATTTTAATAGTAAATACTTTAGATTTATTTATACCTATAATATCTTTTATTTATATTTTAGTTCTAGTTATTTATTATTTAGAATAATCTCATTTGCTTATGCATTTCAACCAACTTAAATAAGATAAAAACAGTAAAAAAGTAATTAACTGTGATTTCTTAATGGTTCGATACCTGAGTATATTTGCAATGTTTGTGGCGACCATAGAAATCTCGAGTCATTTTATTTTACACGCTTATGAAGTAACTACCGACTATTTAAAACATGTTTTTCAAATCACCCGACTTACAAAATAATTGCGTTCTTAGTTGTCAATTTATGAGGATTTCATAGTTTATTGCTACACTACTTATATTCGTGTGCAAAGTTATTTTTATTTTTACAAGATGTTCCAACACCTATCAACATTTAAAAAGGCTGAAACCATTGTTTTGCATGAGCAAAACATAACTAACAATAACTGAAATAGCAAGGCGTTTAATGATATCGGTGAGTAAATAAGATACTACGTTGTTATTCTAAATAATATTTATTTCATTTTGTAACTCGACACACCTATCAATTTTTGCACTAGAATAAAATAATTATTGCAACTTATTATGAAGTTCAATATTATAAAGATATATTAATAATTTATTATTAATTGTATTGTAACTTGACTTGTTTTTGTTAGGAGTGTTTCTTTAAAACATATCTGGTTAGGGATTTTTATTCCTTACGCCACTACTTAATTATAAATTATTATTCTAACATTGTGTTTACTTATATTTATTATTATTTTTAAGTAACTTTAATTCCTGTAAAGTATTTCCTGGTATTTTAAATACTTATTTGTTTGGTATCAACAGAGGAGATCCATGCAGTTATGGGTGCACAGATATGCGGAGACCGGTGACGTTAAACATCGTCGACGTGGGCCTAAACCAAAGGCAAATTCATCGGCTCGGCACTACGACATCGTAGCCAGGCACATGGCTGATCCGTTCCTGCCAACCCGCACTACAGCGACAGCACTGAATGTTTTAATACAAACTGTACGGAGACACCTGCATTCTGGTTTAAGGTGCAGGAAGCCAGAGAAGAAAACATTGTTATCTGTGGTTCACCAGCAAAAGCGCTAAGAATTTGCTAAGGACTTTATTAATTTTGATTGGGCGAACAGTGTAATCATATTGAGCGACGAAAAGACTTTCAAGTCGGATAAGGATGGGCGTAAAATATTGTGAAGAAAAGATGGAGAAAGGTATACGAATTGCAACCTTCTGCCTTGTAGGATCAGTGATTGTATTGATTTCGGAATCAATTATTGAGCCTGTCAAACTCTGCCTTTATTAAAATTAACATAAAATAATGTTTAATTTTTTTAAGAATATTAAAATGCTGTCTAGAACATACGGTGAAGTGATGTTATTGTTTTGTGGTTAGAAATTGTCATAATTTCTTTCTATTCAACATGTTTATTCACTTCACTTTAATTTTTCATTAACAAATTTATTTAACTGCTTTCGAACTTGATTGACATATTATATTTACGCCCATCTTCAATTAATTTAAAGTTTCCCTGATTCTAAAGGTCATGAAAGTTAAAATCGTTCCATAGCATTCGTCACATTCTTTTTACTATCATACAGCCCACTGAATATTGAACCTTATAACAACCGTCGTAAAATAGATAATTAATGGAAGTTCAAACGACAAAAAGTCGCCCATTTCAAGAAATATTTTACATGTAATTTTTTACATGTTTTACTTGTTTATTACTGTAAAACTGTAATTTAATAATACATTATATTATTAAATTACAAAACAAGAATGTTGTATATTTGTTTATTACTTAATAAAAAATGTTGCTGCCATCGTATTACCGCTGTACCGCATGATATTTCCCGATTCGACTATGAGGTTTATTGTCATATCTATTAATTATGATTTAAAGAACTTTAAACTTAACATGTGGTATATAATTAATTATTAGATATAAATATTGAATATAAAACAACATATTTGTATAATAAATAAATTAATTGTAATAAAAAATAGTATTGTTTTATTTACCAACTCATTTGCTTCTTTTATAGCCTGATATTTATATTTTATGACAAAAAAACAAAAAAAAAAATAAGAAAAATAACAAGGTAAAATAAAATTAACTTTTAGCTGGAATAGAACCCACATCATTGATCCTTGAAAGACGATAAAAGCGTGCTCATTAACCAATCGACCACGAGCACTACGATAATGACAGTGAAAATGTCGGGTCATATCAATGATTGTAAATAGTTTTAACCTTACCTATGCATTAAATTATAAAAATACGTATACCGACACAAGAATGAAAATACCAATGTGAACGTGGTGGACGAATATTTTTATATACAGTTATATGAAATTACGCACACATGTACACTGTGTAAATGACAGTTGTGTCGATGTGTAGCGCTGCAACTAATTAGCGGTGCTTTGTGTACATCATACCTTTGCCTTCGAGGATAAAAGGTGTAAAATATTATTTATTTCTACCGTCACATACATACATGAAATACTATCTTAATTGATAAATAAGTTAATTACAATTATTACATTGAATGTACTTATCTTGTTGAAATAGTTTCACACAGTTGCCATTATTTATTTTAATATGGATACTTTTAAATTTAATTTCATTATATTTACTACTCGCTTTTGCCCGCGACTTCGTCTGCGTGAAATAATAACAATTCCCGCAGAACTTGGACTTATCGGAGTCTTTCCTTACAGGAGCCTGTGTTTCCTGAAAATTACATCTTGGGTGTATTCAAGTTTTAAGAATATAAACTATCCTACGTCCTTTTTATTAAACAGTTTTATTTAGCTGGTCCCGGTGTTTTTTGTTTGTTTTTTATTTAGGTCAAATTTAGTAATTGTAATTATATATAATGGAAGGGGGTAACTCTGTTTTTAACTAAAAATCGCGGGTTACTCACGTGAATATACTGACTGGAAAGGGGTAACCTTTCTCGACGACAGATGCATTTGATATTTTGTACACTCTCTTAATCATTGTGACCGTACAATATAATCTATTTTATCCACAACTACTTTACATACTACTACAAGATTTAAAACTGTCGATGCTTGTACCGAATTTCACTCAATAACTTGGTTTTTCATCCAAACCTATTTAGCCATTCTTGAGTTATAAATAGTGTAACTATCACGACTTTCTTTTATATATATGTATATAGATTATATAAATCACGGTCGAATGGACATTTTAAGAGAGAATAGGAGGTATATAATTATATGTTTATGATAACGGCAAGGTTTTGCCTTCTCGTAGGTTAAATAAAACAAAAGAAAACAAACTCACCTATTTTGTTTTAATAGTGACGTTATTTTCTTTCACCGAAACTTCATATACCCGTATTATCGACCTGAATCTGGAGAATTTGACCTGCGTTGGTAATAAAACTCACAATCTAAGTAATTAACCGAGTAAACAAATTAATTGTAAGTAATGTTATTTTCTCTGAAAGAATTTATGTGTCCGTGTTGTTTATGACATCATTGGCCTTTATTGTTTGACCGAGGCTTCATTGTTACAAGGCAAGGTCTGTTGTGAGCCTACTATTAAGGTCCCAACCATAAAAATGATATTTAGGCCCGAATTGAACCACGAGGGGCGGTTGTACTGCGGTTCTATTACAATACCCTAATAAAAAAGCTAAAACTGCTACTCCTATGTATATAAATCTAACTGTATATACAAAATTAATTTGTATTAACGAAATAAATCATTAATTCACATTTGACCTTAACTAACAGAAATAACAATTATTATGTTACAATAGTATGTTAATTCGGAACCCTATTTCAAAATAGAGTATAAGCCACACTGCGATCGACTGGCACCCGAAGCACACGGGCGTTCGTACACTTCGTGTGGTCAATTATGCGGTTCACTAATTTACTACTCTGTGATGTTGTGAGGAACATAGCGTTGCTACTCAATTAATTGGGTAGGCGTTTTCCCACAAATGTAATAAAGGATTGCTTTTCGATGTTATAATATGGAAAACTAGCGCGTAATAATAAAATGTAATTAAGTCATGTAATTGTATGTTTATACTTAAAGAAAAACATATCGCAAACTCATTACAAAGCATATATAAAGGTTATGTTTTTAGCTTTAACATAAAGCTGCCAGTAAACACCCGCTTCAGATGGCAGTCTCACTCGATAGTTTCACTTGACACATTTATCTAAAGCTAAGCTTTTTGTGCAGATGAAGACGAGGAGCCGCGCTGTGTCACTTTGACGTCGCGCCACAAAGCCGCCATACGATTTATAAGAAAGGTACGTAAAAATTTACTGAACTTTTTTCTTAAAAATATTATATTACTCACAACGTAGTATATATATATATATATGAACATGTAAACAGAAAACAGCACTGCTAAGACAATTATGAAACAGCAGCGTGTGCTTGTGAAATAATATCAAGTTTATGATCTTGAAAACATTCGCAAATTAACACAGAGACAGACAAAATATCGTCGACTATTTACATAACTTCAGAATTTTAGTTCAAGGTCCATGATTTCTAGCGGTGCAAAAAATAACTACACAGTGTTCTCAACAGTCTATAATTATCCTTGGGAAAAATACAAAAAGCTAATATTTTTAACAGATTTTCTACTCAGACGTCTGTAAGAGACTAATGGCATCTATTATAAATTCACGGCCAATTTGATACTCCCAAACCATTCAGACAAAACTTGTAAACATAAGACATTCCATCACAAGGACAAATAACGGAGTTAGTTAACAAAACATTTTTTATTACATAAAATATTTCAATTCTACAAATGAACCATTTACCTACATTTATTTACAGACTTTATGATATTTAATATCACAAACATAGAGAAAATATGAGAATTGTGTTTACTATTTGGTATAACAAATTTTCAAGACACAACTTAGTAATTCGCAAGAGCACCACAAAATGAATTCCCAAACTTAATTAGCTCTTGTGTCAGTTCTGTTCGATACCTGAATAATGAGCTTTTAATGACTGACTTCTAATGTTTAATTGAAATGTTCGAGAAAGCGGAAAAGTTTAATTTAAATCTGGGAATTAGTCTGGCATTTCGTGTTCATGAGAATTGTGTAATAGACATAAATTCGTAACTTACTGACTTATTAAATTCTGACAGATGAAGTATTTTGTGGCCCGACGTAAGTTTAAAGAAGCGCTAAAGCCTTACGACGTCAAGGACGTTATTGAACAGTATTCCGCGGGCCACGTGGACCTGCTGGGCCGGGTGAAAAACGTCCAGACTAGGTACTGCAGCCACCAGCGAACCCATCTACACCATGCACTGCCATTGACTTTCTACATTCCTACCAGCTACCTACTGTACTTTTCATCTGGACTGTGTACCGACTGTGTCTTGTTATCTTCGTAGTCAAAGTTGGCATTAAACTTACTACCTTTATACTACCTCCGTAGTTAGTGTGTGCAACGCTATACATAATGCATAATTACAGTACATTACCTGGCTGCCTCGAAATCGCTAAAATCTTTTCTTATGTCTTCAAAGAACACATGTAATTCCATTGTATGTTATTCGTTTGAGTGATAATGTCATATTCAATTATTTCAGATAAGGTAGCCATAGAAAACTTATTAAGAATTTTAGGTATGTTATTTTATATTCAGTTAGTCGCGTTCCTTCCATTTGTTTTAGCTTAATTATCTACCACATGTTCAAACAATTTACCTCAGCTTCTCAAAAATCGTTAATTAAATTAAATGTCTCATAATTATAGCGATTTTGATGCGGTCTCTACACTGAAAACTTCAAGTGAAAACTGCTCCCTGCCTCTTAGTCTAGATGCCTGATAATTTATATAAGAAAACCCGTTCTTGATAGGTGGGCCCCTGTGGCTAAATCCAAATATTCCAAAGGCAAAACAATGGTTTATCGATTTACCTAACAAAAATGTAACCAACAGGTAGTTTTATCTAACAGCTGCTCGGTACCAATACCTTCTGCATGATTGTCTATTCAAATACAATGTAAGTAAAATACTGTAGAGCCACTATTAAATTAATTATCAGATATATGATCTAAAGTAAGCCACTCTTAATTTGTGATTAAATAACTAGTGCGCGACATATTTATAAACTCTACTTGACTCAATAGAACATGTTAATTAGATTCTACTATCACCACTTACTAAGAGTATAACCTGAAACACTTCACGCCTCGTACATTCAATTACTAGGTGAACATTTCCCATAAAAATGTGCGGATGATAACTATACTCGAGCCAGTTAATTTGGACCATTCATTCTTTCAAAATTATGAATGTGTGCAGAACTTTTGCAATTTTAGCTATCAGGATTATGTTTTATTTTCGTGTAGCTCAAGTATTTTGTCGCACGCAAGAGATTTAGAGAAGCATTGAAACCGTACGACGTCAAAGATGTGATAGAGCAATATTCGTCGGGACATGCGGACCTGCTAAACAGAACCAAGAACCTGCAGTACAGGTGAGATGAGCCGCCGCGGCCGCGCTACACGCACTGACGTCGGTCCTCGCCGCCGCCGCTGCTTCATTCACTGATCATCATCAGCCCGTCCGCCTACTTGTACAGCCACTCGCTAATCAAATTTACTGAATGAACGGCTCACCAGTAACAAGACATTCCTCTCTGACTAACATAACATCCATCCATGTACTTAGGTGTGTATCAAATTAGTTAGTTGTTGTGGAGAAGGGCGACGTTTACACTGTGATTTAATTGTGTTTTATGTGGTTTGAGGTTGTAGTATTATTGTTTACTGTATTTGCATTGTGTCACCACGTTCCTGTATAGATGTTGTGTGTAGTTAAGTATTCGATAGATGAAGTTAGTTGTATTGATGTTCCTTCGTGGTTTTATAAATTTTGACTTACAGTTTGGGATACCTGCCTTCTCACCTACGTTAATCGTTTTAATAAATTGTTGTAGGACTAAGATAATAATATTATTAGACTGCTTGTGATATCACACGCAGTCTAATGTAGGATTAATTCTCTAGTTTAAAGGTAGACTGTCTTTATTAGGGAAATCTTAAATTAGAATTTAAATACAAAAATCAACTTTTATTATTGATGAATGTAAATACTAATAGATATTTTATAGTATATATTTTACGAAAGAAATAATGTAAGTTGTCATTGTGCCTGAGTTCCACCTTGTAAAAAAAATACACTATTTATCTTTGATAAAGTTTGACAAAATATATTTGTTTACTATATAAACTTATATCTAGACAGCCGAGCATTAGGTAACTGGCAATTTGCATGATAATTAGTTTTACCAAATAACCATGTCCTTCACTGGATTCCCTACCTAGAGATGTGTCGCGGTTAGAAGATCACTCATTCGAATATTATGCATGAACATCATCTTTGAAGCAAACAAAGATAATATGCATGTACCGAGTCAATACTTAGCATAAACCTACACGATTAGTAATATAGCACAATTTTCTTAAGCTTCCCACTTCTTTCTAACCTAACCTAATTTCTAATACACGAATAAAGCATAATTGATACAGTAGTCAATACTTAGAGGTAGTTCATATTAATGATCAAATTTATTCACCTTACGTTTTCATCAAATTTAGTCACCTCGAAACAATTCGCGACTATTTTTCAAAAAAGGTTCTACTTATTTATATGCAAGCAGTCATTAAACATTTTTATGATTCACGCGAAATCTACGTAAATAAATAATTTATTTCATTGTGAAAAACCTTACGAAAAAAAGGATTTAATCAACCCATACTTTAAAACTGCTTCTTTTATTGTTCTTATATAAGGAAATATGTATGAAATTAGCGTATTGTTTTTTTATTATAAAATAACGTTGTGTGTGTACTGCCATATAAGTATTTCAGTTCGTGAGTCGGTGTTTCGCAATCAATATCATAAAGATGAACTTTACACTATTGATTGCGTTTAAACATCAAAAACACACACAAGAATTATTGATTTCAAACATTCTTTTGCCATTAGAATGCTGCATTTTTGTTACACAAAAATATGGGCAGTAGGTATACATTTTCAAAAAAAATCTGTCTAAGAAGTCGTTATTCCAAGCGAACGAAGTCGCAGGCAGAAAGAAATCACTGTATTTACAGATATATAAAATTGAAGTGTCTGTTTGTATGTTTGTACTGAAAATCTCTGGAACGGTTGGACCGATTTTAACGGGTTCTTATTGACAAGTAGCTAATTTACTGAGGAGTAACATCATAAGCTACTTTTATTTTGGAAAATTGAAACATAAAAAGTTATGTCCTAAAATTCATATTCTACGCGGACGAAGTCGCCAGCAACAACTAGTATAGTAAATATAAACGCCGACTACCCATATTTTCGTGGAATTAGTTTTGCACTTAAACTAACCATAATATTTAGTATTTTAACTCAATCTATCTATTCTATACCTATCTAATAATGCAAACAACACTTCGCATCGCCTTAGCATTCCTTTGCCTGCATTTCCTTTCAACTCAATTTAGTCAAAATCACATCGTTTAGATGAGCAATGCAATTTTATTTGGATGTGTTATAATAATGCCACAGTGTGAGTAAGCTGTGTTTCTTTCTTTCTTATTATTTATAGTTGGATATACATAGTTCAGATGCAAAATAATTTTTATTTTTCATAGAAATAGCTTTGTTTGTTACATCATTCTATTTGTAATATAATATACGTATTACATTCTACTTTTATATGTTTTGTAATTTATTGTTCAAATCATATTTTCGTATGGTAGGTATAATAATGATTCATTATCTGTTAATATTTTAAATTATGTATACCAATATGTGAATTCGTTATTTTACCTCCTACTGATTTATGTTTATGTACTGAATAATTTATTTTGGGCCTAGGTAGTGTGCTCAGATGGCGTCGAATTTCTAAACCTATTGAATAATCTACATGTCACAATGTTTCTCCAAAGCTTTATGTTTTATTACATTAGCTAGTAATATTTCAAATGCCTTTTTCATTTAACTTGAATTATGGTCACGAGCAATAATTTAAATAGATCACTTATATTATATTGAAATAACATCCAATAACGACGTCACGCCTTCTTTCATTCATCACTCGAGAGTAGAGCATGTGCCAATGTTTATAGATAACTTATATTTTATGTTTTATCGTAGTTTCTGTACGTGGTTGTGAACCGTATTACCATAATTAATAATTATTGTTATTATTACTAATAGATGTCGTAACGCATTGAGAAACTTATACAAATCAACCAAAAGGTTGCACTCATATTTATTATGTTCGCTATCAACTTACTTTATTACATAACCTTAAGTATAATCCATAAGTACTAACTAAAAATTATTTTTAATGTACCCACAGGTTAGACCAAATACTTGGAAAACAAGGATCTAAAGCTAAAGATGTCTATGCATCGAAAATCAGCCTAGCTTCCAGAGTAGTTAAAATTGAAAGACAAGTAAGATCTACATTTAACTGTTAATTCCAATGTCCTTACTTACTACTTTTTGTGTAAAACTTACTTACAGCGAGTAACATGAGTCAACAGATCATAAGTGCATGATTTAGGTAGGCGTTGCGATGTATAGAATAGATAACAATATACATTTCTTTCAGGTAGATGATATAGAAAGTAAGTTGGATCATTTATTAGAAATGTATAAAGAGGACAGAGGGGTGCCTCGGAGACTAGTGGGCAATAGTACGAATGGAGGAGGAGAGGGCGGTCCGTCCGGAGAGGGGGGACTGTTATTGAGGAACAGGCCGGCGCTGACAGACAAGCAGTGTTCAGAGCCCAACTCGCCGGTGTCACGCACCTTCGAGCCGCCTCCGACCACGGCTGCGCCGCTCGTTCCCTACAAACGGCCTATGAACCGAGGGTATTCAGACCTGGGTAGCAGATTTATGAAAAAAAAAGTTATCGTGAAGTGAGTAAAACATTTTAATCTCTAATCTACTGCTTAATGTTTACCTACCTACTAGCCTTTACTTAGTTTGCTAATTACAAATAAATACAATTATAACTCTATGTTAGTAGTAGTAGGTTATTTATTTTCTAAATTAAAGTCTAGTTCGAACCGGAGACTTGACTTGAGTAACTAGTTGGTATTTGCAATAGTGAATAATTCATTCTTACGCGATAGGGCGCTATGCTCGGTGATTCTTTGCGAGATCGAATCAAAAGCCTTAGTACGAGTTTCTTGTTCGTTCAAAGTAATCGTAACGAATACGCGTCCGGCGCTGTGATTGGCCGGCTCCAATGAACAAACCAATCAGAGCACCGAACGCCGTCTCGTTTCGATTACTTTAACTGAAAAAGAAACTCGTACTAAGCCCTCTGAGGGGATTTACGTTTAACGAGATCGAAACGAGACCGGTGTCGACACTAGGAACTCCGCAAAAGAACAAAAGTCGCTGACATAGCCCAGCGGATTACCAGTTTAAAGTGGCAGCGGACGGGGCACATTGCTTTAAGACCAGACAGCCGATGGGGCAGGAACGTTGTCGAATGGCCACGTACGGGCAAACGCGGCGTAGGACATCCACCCAGAAAGTCGATTGACGCCCTGTTAAGGGTCATAGGAAGTAACTTGGATGAAGGTTGTTTCAAACCAGCCGATCTGAAATTCACAGGGGAGATCTATGTTCATCAGTGGACATCTTGTTACTGATATGATGATGACACTGTACCTCTAATAACTTACCAACTACTTCATACCTTTAAATTATTTTAAGTCCATGGCATAGAGCGTAGCGCAGAGAGCGTAGCATAAATATATCTAGGAAGATGTTACATATTTAAATCACATACATAATAAAATATATTGCAGCCGTACACTGTTGTCGTGTCGTCAATCCCTGAAGTGTAGATGCATAGTTCAATAATGAATGTTAACAGGACAGCAAGTTCAAGTCGCAACGGTGATTCCCCTAGAGACGATGAAGTAGTTATCGTAGTGCCGGACCGTGAGGTCACACCGCCCCGGCTCGTCACCGACAGCTCAGGTCGGTATATGTCACACACACACACACACACATCACACATGTACATACTCCAGCATCAACACATTTCATTGTAAAGGCAACCTTAATTAACTGCCCCACTATACAACTTCTGCAAGTCACAAATATTGTCATGTTGTACTAGTAGAGATTGCTTGGAGTGCTGTGTAACTAGACTTAAAATGCATAACTAATATAATTGTTTAGAGTTGACTTGCATTTTTAACTTAACTTAATCAATCCGGTCAATCTCTACATTTTTCACCGAAAAAGTTGTCCCCACATATCATCAACTAACACTAACTTAGTCACACAAATAGATTAGTAGTATGAAGCAAGCTGTAGTGAATGTGATGCTAACTTAACCAATTAAACGTCGTTGCCATAGGTATAAATATGCGAATATTACAAAATTGCAGCATCTTATGAAGATTATTCGTCGTCGACCTCTCTCTGACCGACGACTTGGGAGAGCCCCATAGTAAACGGCCGCCGCCGGCTGAGTGAGTCCTAAACCCTACCCCTATCGATGTGTGGAATGTTTATTATTTAATAGTATTTCTCTGTGTCCTCCTAGACAAGCCTACAACTTACTCCGACCACATGAATGTATCTACTAATGAAGGTGTTGTAGACTTAGATTTATTTCATCCAATCTAATCTTTTATCTGGTAGGGGTTAAAGTATCACGTAGCCGATTTATATTGAATTTTGACATTACACCTGTTGTTATAAAATACATTACGTCCAAGTCCTTGTGATATCCAACCTAAACTGGCGGACTCTTGCCAAGTAATGAATCTTTAAAATTGAGCCGTGGGGAGTTCTTCTTAAATTGACGTCCTGGTAATGTATCGTTAAACAGTAACCGTACTACGTTGATTTTATATGATCTCGTTTAGTTTGATGAACATGACGCGTCTCATTGTAGTTATATTAATAAATTGACATTAAACAGAAATCTGGAAAATTAACAAATGTACCTGCCTATATCACTAAAACGTACCTTACTTGTTTCATATTACACCATTAGTACCTTAGTACTCAATAAACAAAGTCAAAAGAAAAGAAGAGTCAAATAGAGGTAACGAACATATTTTTTTAAAAGTATACGATTTTCCAATATAATACGGCAATGTAATACTTTAACACCTACATATTAGTACCTATTACTTACATTTCATTTGCTATGTTATCAAATTAAAATTAAAACATTATATAACATTAATACGATGAAAAATATAAATATACGTACGGAACTCTGCCTTTTACACGACTCTACCATAAAAACATGCCACAAATTTTATGCTACGACTACATACTTACTACTATCTACTTACTTTTTCTAAACCAATAACTATAATGAACTGGAAAAATTCACTCGACAATAGCTGCAGTTGTTTGTGATCACACACACAATACCAATGTTACGACCTGTATATTCGTCTATCCGACAAATTACAGCTGAACGTGCCTTTGACTAATGCCGACTGACGCACAACGTTTATAAATTAAGGAAAGAATAGTGTACAATAATGTAGATTATACCCACCTTAAAACTTGTAGCATGTTTGAAACTCCCTATTTAAGTATTTAATAAAACACGCCTAGGCTGAAATCTGTAAGAAGTAAAAATACCTAAAGTTAGGTGTTTTTACTTATTTTAAAACTTAGTATTTTAGTAGGTACTATAACTTTTTAAACAGTGAACTCATATCGATAATAAGAAATGGGTAACTGAGTACCTAGATAATATTTTACTTTTTGTAACATATACTAAAACAAATTACTTATCAGAAAAGTCACTTTGTAAGTTCGAAGTATACATAAACAGTGATAAAACTTGTACCTACTATATACTACGCTAAATTTTAGCCTTCTTCTTTATTGATAGGGGAAAGACAAAACATTTCTTTTTTTCATTTACAACACCTCTCATCAGTTTCAGCATGAATATGTAATGTAGATTTCTTTTACGTATTTAATATAGACATTTTATAATAGGTACGTGTGCAATATACAAAGTGTCCAGTAAATAGTAAGACATATTGTGAAGCTGCGATCAATACCTACCTAGACAACTAAATGTATATATAAGTTCAGCGAAAATGTACGGTTTTAAAGTCAGAAAACAACGCCAAATCACTACCTCATGACCTCTACACATCTTTTAGCATAATCTCCGTAAAATATTTGTTTAGTAATTTATGTACGTCAAACTATTTGTAGAAAATTATATCCCACCAAAAACATTCTGTAATAAACTAGCCAAGTCTCGATGGAGGTGGCAGTTTATCTATAAAAAGTAATGAAATGTCTGCTTTGCGCTCGACTTGGCTGGGGCACTGTCGTACCCCCAGATTCTACTCGTTGGTAGGTTGGTAGGTAAAGCAGTAAAAGTTCTTCGAAAACTGACACAAAATCAGCTTTCGTAAAGAACTATTTTATTCCTGATATAGAAAAGACCTACCAATAAATATAATAATTATCTACGAATAATTTGATGTTTAATAATTTGTTATTGTAAGTACAAATAAGTTACTTAAAGAATCACGCTGTTATACTAAGGTAACCGGGGCTCCGGCTCGACGTGCAGGAGAAGGAACGGGGTGGTTTTTAGTCAATAAGAGTCTGACACGTCCTTCCGCCTCACCCAGGCGGGAGCAGTCATTCGATATTTTTCCCCCCTTAAAAAAAAATAAAAAATAATAAAAGATCGGTTTCGAGGTAGTGATTTTACGATATTTCCGAAAATATTGTATAACTTTGAAACCGTTCAGCGTATGAACATACAATTATATTGAGTTGTCTATATAGGTAGGTTGATTGATCTCAGCTATCACCCTTCGCCGTATGTTGTACTGTTTACTGGACACCCTGTATATTTGAATACATTACCAGTCTTAAATGTTAATGTGGTTACTTATGATTGTTATCTATACTTAATACTTTTAATTAATTAATTAATAATGTATAAATCTGCAATATTTGTTTGTTTGGACGCGCTAATCTCAAGTACTACTTGTTTGGTTTGAAAAAATATTTTTGTGTTTGATTACCATTTTTCGACGAAGGCTATATATATAGGCTATATCATAACATAAATAGTGAAAGTGGGTGTTACATTGTACAGTGGCATAATGTGCAACTCTGCCTACCCCTTCGGGGATAAAAGGCGTGATGTTATGTTATTATGTAGTGGATGAAACCGCGCGGAAGTGGCTAGTTTAAAATATACAAACAAAGAATGTTCACAAAAAAAGGTAATTCACATAAATCAATGCATTCAAGTAAAGTTCCTGTTGGTTTTTCAAACCTTTGATAAACCAGGTCGTGTATGGTACTCATCTTACATGCACTTTTAGTCATATTATAGGAAGTAAGGCAGTAGAAGACTCCTCGGGATTGTATGGCCATTATATAATGATTGATGTATACTCTAGTATACATTTTACGAGCTATTTGCCAGTCACATCTTTGTTTAGCTTTTTAACAAAACAAACAAATAAGTTAATACATTGTACACACTAGAGGTATTTATCTATTATAAAAGTCTCTTTGCGAACTAAAAAGAACACAAACCAGATATATAAATAAATAATCTTAGCTTTAGCTTCATTTATGTACCTACTTGCATAATTAAATTTCGTAGCATATTAAACGTAAAGATGATTGCAGAAGTTTGCGCCAGTTGTTCTGCCGGCGCGGAAACAGAACCTCGGTCGGTGAGCTCGGGATCTGCATCCTGGTGCGAGGGTGACGCTGCGGAGGAACGTGGTTACGGCTCCGGAGACTCTCTAGCTGAAGACGCCGCACTGCTCGGCGACGCGGCACAAGCTTCACAACCCCGCATGATGCGCAACCAACGCCGGGATGTGGCTGTCGACCTCCACCTCTTACGACCAGATGTCTGAGACTTACTATTCAGTATTTTCATCTTGACGAAAAAAGGCTTTCCACTAATTACCTACTTACCACCATTATGATTGTAAATATAACGTCGCACAATATTGACTTGACACTGCGCTGTCCATTCACTTAATTTCCTTATTGATAGGTGCTTGTAATGAGAAAATGAGCAATCATAGTTTAGGTAAAACGAGTAGATAGTATATAAGCGTCTTGTGCAACTCCAATAAATAAAATATACAACGAGTTGATGTTGTGATAATCACTTCCACTCGATTATGTATAAAGACCAAGGGCTCGTGAGCCGAGTACGTAGGTACCTAATGTTTATTATTACGCTTACATTGTTTAATTAATTATTGCTTTAAAAGATATAAAATTTACGATTATTTAAATAGAAAATCTTTACTTTATAAAAATGTACCATAATTGTTAAGTTGTACATATTTTTGTAATAAGTTGTTTAATAATTATTATACTTAGATTTATAATGTATAGTTATTTAGGAAATGTTACTTGCCGTGAACGAAATCCAGAGAAAGCATCAATCTCGATATCTAGGCTAGATATTGTATAATGCCTAAACTAACATTTATACATACTACTAGACATTTTATAAGTGGAAACATCCAGGATTAGGTGTGACGTTTGCAAATAATGTAGGAAATATGAATTATTATAATATTTCTACAAATAAATAAGTAGGTAATTTTAAATAATAACATAATTGACAAAGAAACTGTGATAGATATTCAGTTTTGCCATTACGCCTAACAAAACAGACTAGATGATCGAAGCCATCACAGAGCAGATTTCAGTAAATACTATTGTAAAAGTAGTCCAATCTGTAGGTCGACGCCGTGCGTGCTATCGTATCTGTTTTTAATTTATTGGTAAAGTCCTACTCTTGAACCAATTTTGACATTTTGGACATGTTTCTTAATAAAAGCAGGGTAAACTATTGCCTGAAAATCAAATGAATAAGTAATAAGATTATAAATATTGGTGTATATGTATTTATATATGTTTAAAACATTCATATTTAGAAAGATGTTTCAAACATTCAGACTTGAAATTGTCATCGCTGATGCTGTTCACGATATCGAATGACTACAGAAGATATTGTATAGAATGAAAAATGTGTTATTCAATGTTGTATATTCGGAAAAGGCTTCCAACGTCATCAGATATGGCTTTATCAGTATTTTAATAATGACATCAATAGTGGTTATTGTAATATGAATAATCGTATCCAAAAGCACATTAATTTGTAGGCGAGAAAACTCATCAGTCAGTAAAATAATAAATACAATGGGACCTACTAATTGCCTAACTGTTAGATCTATGAATTGTGATATGTTTATGAATTACTTACTTACCTAAGTCAATTTACACTGTATATAAATCGAAATAATTACCTTACTACTACTGGCAATCAACCGTATAGATCTATATATTACTGTGAGCATTCTAACGTCACATCGAAACAATTTTTAAGCACATTACATTCACTTTTCACATTATATAGTCGCCTAATCAAATAAATATTGATTAAGGGTACAAGTTGAGTAGGTACTACGTAGAATACAGGCATAATCGGCAGGTTGGACCTGCCTGGAGGATAGTTATTAAAAAAGTCGATCATGTCGTACACGGATCCTGAAGCGAAAGTGTAACTACTGAAAGTAAACACTGGGTAATAAATGCCAGACTACAAAAAATAAAAATAAAGTTAGGAAAATAAATTCAAATATTTCATTTCTCTCCCTCTCTGCAGGTGCTACAATTGGTATACGCAATTTAAAAACAATATTTGTATCACGATAGTCTAAAATATGCACAGTGTACCTAGATATATGAATCTGAATGAGATGTAAGTTTCATTTAAGGTCCCCTTTTGCGATAATACTTTATTTATGAAAATATTTTATTTTAATAAAAATACATAATCTGACCAATGTTGGAATATTCACAGTAATATATAAAGACAAAACGAAAACTTGTTGCCGGGAAATGGCCTAACAATACCTTAAAATCCCGAACATATCTAGACTTTAAGCACGTACTAACCCTTCGCTTGTCAAATACAATGATCGAAACCGATTGATTCGTTTTAATAAATAAATCGACACAAGTAGTAACGAGCCCGCACAAATAAATTCATCACAGACATTTGAGTTTTCTGTATATTAGAAAATCCCCATTCAGGCTAGTCTTTCAACAGTGCTATACCAAGCCCTATCTGCCAAGCATTTTAATATTTCCGCGCAATAGAGCTGGTTTACATTAAAACAAATTGACACCTGGTGTCAAATCCTTAATTTATTTTTATTTTTTAACTTCTGTTGGAAGGCTAGCATACTCCCTAATATATGTAAAGCTATAGAACCAAGTTGCCCATCAAAAAAACATTTACCTATGTGCAAACTAACTTCAAAGTCTTACTAGACCTAAACTGTTGTGTCGACCTACTGAAACTCTATATTATTATGTAAAGGTACCTTTATCATTACCTCGGAATTCGAGCTGTCGATGTGTAAGTAATCAATGATGATTTATAACATCGCGCTAGTATTTTTGTTGTCATTAGAGATTACATCGAAACTACGGCTGCAATAAATTGATGTCACTGAAAAACGAAGGGTAAGTAAGTAGTAGGTGTTAAGTTAATAATATTAACAGTGTGCACACTTGAGGAATATTAGTACATGATTAGTCCCTATACCTACCTAAACGGGGTTAGATATGCCAACATAAAGGTAAATGTACAAATGAGCACATCACATCATTTCAGTATAAGTAGGTACCTTAATATCACCTAGACCTACCTAATTGAATATCACCGATATTTAGATTTATCGATTTATATATTATACGATCCCTTGAAACATTCCACCGGTACCTACTATAAAAAACCCTATGTATGTTACTACGCACATCGAGCCTCATTATGGAGCCAAACGATAATCATAAAAAATGAGTTATGGTATGTTTATGCTATACCACGAGGGCTGCGAGGCTATGGAGTGGACATGCTAAGTCATTGGCCATTGTGCCCATTTCCCCAAACACAAATAAAAATATGTAGGGCAAATAGATAGGCATACCTACTAACAGAACTTAATTATTACAATGTTACCGTGAGGAAGAAAGAAACTTATTTACTATTTTTTTCTAAAAGTGAGTCAGAAATATGAAGCAGAAATTGACATACAAAGACGTAACTTTGAAACTATTAGACATTTCAAATATTATGTATGTATATCTCAATGCATTTAGCCTATGTGACTATTTTACAGGGAAGTCCCTGGAAGTGTGGATCAAATCAAATCCCAATCTCAATCAAAGGGGCTTAGAGGAAGTCATTCCCTAATTTTTACTCTGGGAATAGGGGTCCGATTCTTAACCGTTTAAAAGTATGACCAGTTTTCTCTTTGAACGGTGATTTTAATAATATGCTTAAAGAAGCGATCACAAACAATAAACATTGGAGGTACTAAATAATGTAATCTCATTTTTAGACTTTTTACTAGAGTGGACCTTTCTTATCACCGCACTTGTTTTACTCAATAAAATAACATCCATGTAATAAAAAAATGCTTTAAATGTAGTGTTTTCGGTTCCGCATAAATTAATTCAATTTTCAAGTTATGTTCGTGAAAAATCCACACTAGGGAAAGTTGGCTATAATTATACCTATCAGAATAACGCTTTGATTATTCAGAGGTAATCACGAGAATATTCGCAATAGGTCTGGTTAAGTCTTAACCGTTAAGAGGTAGAGAATTTTATTTACTAGGAGGTCGTAAATTAGCAATTTCAATATGTTTTTTATTTCAGCTACTATCTGTTGGATTTCAGTTTTAAGACATTGTTCTAATGCATTGGTCATTATTAATTTACGCATTACTGTGACGTTACATCGTAGGTTACGTTATTTGGCTTAACTCGGAGTAAATAGGATGCCTATTATCCAGGTTGAACTAGTTCTGTTTATCCCTTTTGGAAATTAAAGGTTTAAGATTATTGTAGGTGTGTTTTGTGACCAATTATTAGGTATTTTGCCTAAGTAAGATACATAATAATAAGTAAGAATAAAACCGTTAAAAAAAGAAACAGCAGTAGCGGTAACTACATATATTAATCTATTGTCGTGTTAAATTTTAAATTCTACCCATAGACAATCATTTTCCATCTCTATGATATAGACCAATGCATGGCGCAAGGGGCTATTGGCTATGTGCCACAGACCTACTATATTCTAAATCTATGCTATGTGCACGACGGTAGTGACGCGCAGCGTTTATAACATTTGCGGAAGCTGACAAATAATAACAATGTAAACATTATAATTTTTTTTACAAATATAAATAAAACCAAAAATTAAAATAGTATTGTTGACATTATTTAAGTGCAATTTATAGTTTTATTGTAAAATGAATATAATAATAAAAACCGGGTTTGAAACTATTACACACTAGCGACCCGCCCCGGCTTCGGGTGCAATACTTATGTAAAAATACCTACTACAAAATGTCCATACACTACGTTCACAGTTATTTCGTCATTAGACAATACAAACATGTTTTATATTGATATTTTCTTATTATTATTCCTCCGATAAACGCGTGCGATCGTTGCAAGTCATGAAGTGCTCTAGGACGAAGCGCGGCCATCAACGCCGCAACAAATACGTCCCTGCATTTTAAATTTGTAATATCTTCGGAAATATTCACTTAAATTACATGCTGTAAAAAGCATGATAAAATATGCACAAATTATTTAAAGTTCTTAATTGGATAAAGATTGATGCTGTATTGTTTAAAATCACTTCGTAAATAACCATTGATAGTAAAGGATAAAAAATGGTTATGGTGGGTTATCCCCTCTATACTTATTATACTCTTTGGGTTATCCTAGATAGACATATACCATCGCGAATTTTTTGTTGAACTTTGTAAGGTGGTCAATACTGTAGTACATTAGTTTGGTCTATTTCGTAAGGTACAGCCAACGGGACAGAGAAAACGACTTTGTTTTAAGTATACTATGTAGTGATAATATTAGTTTCCAACCACAAACTGAGACAAAAGGCAATAAATTAGTATTAGCCGAGCATGTAAGAAATGTGGAAGAACTGCGACGTAACGGCCAGAGCTACTTATTACGAGCCGTGGTCCATTGCTTTGCTTTGATTTTGTACTGCAATCAACACATTTGACAGCTGATCATCCCCATTTGTTTCCAATTTCTGCCGTGTTGTGCGCTGCGGTCGTTATCTGTCCGCCACAGCTCGCTTTGCACATAGCCAATAGATGGGGGATTTTTTAGATAAATCGTCAAAATTAATAAATACCGATAAAATAATATATTTTTCCATTTTTAGTCAACTATTTATCAAAAAACGTGGATTTTACTGAATATTTATTCGCCTTTGCACCATTTATATCTCCATATTTTGTTCTTTTTTTATGAGAAACTTATGGACCAAAAAAAAAAAAAGTTAAAGAGTTCATCCTACAAACTAACTTTTTTGAGAGAAAGTTAATTTTTTTAATTTTAAAACAGATTTTTAAATGTACTAAAATGCTAAATAGATGTGGTGTGGTAACCAACCAAAAGGTTAGCGCGCCACAACCATAGAATATCCTTATCCTTACTAATATTATAAATCGGAAAGTGAGTTAGTTTGTTTGTTTGTTCCACTTTCACGCCGTACCTACTAAACCGATTGCTTTAATTTTTTGCCGACATGAAGTTAGAAGTCTGGATTAAATAATAGACTACTTTTTATCCCGGAAAAATTTGATATTCTCGAGAGAAAACGAAATTATTGGTATAGATGGCTGTGTGTATTGCTATACATCACATATGCTACTTTTTATCCTTTTGTGACGCGAGCGAAGCCGCGGGTAAAAGCTAGTAATAAATATGCGTGAAATTGTCTCTAAAATACTTTATTTAGAGTCAGTTAGTCGATGGTTAGTTGTATTAAACTCTATGATCCGTCGTCAATATACTCTATGTCTGTCTTCTCTGTCAGTGTCAGTTTTCTCTTGATTGTCTTGGTCAGAAAAATAGTAATTATTTGTTGTTTGTTACATTTCTAAGTTTCTTGCCTTATTTTGTTCTATTTCCTTAAACCTTAATAGTATAGACGGGTGTGTTAAGTTAATAATGCCAAGTCAATACGAAGAGGAGCGTGCTTGGGAAGCACCAAATCACAATCAATATGAAGTATGTTGACCACCTAAATGTGTAATTTGTTTATTTTTATAGTCGTACACTTAAATGCTATTAGGCTATTATTCTGTTTTTGAAATTTTAAATAGTACAATTATTTGTAATTCATTACGCAATCAAGACCACTTTTAGTCTTGTTTTGTAATTAAAAAGTATTTAAATATACAATAGGTATGATACTCCAATTTGCACACATTTCCAATTATGTGTAATTATTTTATCAGGAAGAAGGCAATGAAGATATCATTGAGAACCCAGAAGAAGTTTTACATGAATGTCTTGAAAAGTTCAAGACACCAGATTATATTATGGAACCTGGAATATTTGGACAGCTTAAACGGTACTTCCAAGCTGGTGGAAATCCAGAACAAGTTATTGAACAGCTATCAATAAACTACAATGCTGTGGCACAAATGGCAAATTTACTTGCTGAATGGCTAATACTTGGAGGTGTGTCTATACTTCAAACTAAATAATTTGGAAATTTCTTATAATAACAAATATTTTATAGTCTTAAACCTACTTATTTGTAATTAGCTGATATACCAGACACTAATGATGGGTTTCACTAATCACTCCTCTACCATATAATAACTAAAAGGCAAACAGTCTGATGTAGCACCTAAACTAACCTCATATTTGTACTTTAAGGAGACTCTTAATGATTGGTGCATACTAAAATATTGTTAAATGTCACTTAACTAAGGGTTCCTTAAAATTTAGGAGAAATTGGCGAAAACAGGCCAAAATTACTTAATTACCCAATACCAACAGTTTATCTAAAACATACAATAAGGATGTTTTTATTCTATATTATTTTGTCCCTCTGATAGATTAGTTTAACCCGTTGAAATTCATCCCCTAAATTTGGTCATACAAAAGTAGTCTCTAAACATTGGAAATAAAGTCTATAATGCAATGTAATATTAGGGGAGAGCGGTCACCGGTGACCGCTTGGGGCTCTATGGGTTAAAACATTAGATGCACATATTTTCATTTGATTAATTCTTGATCTATATAAATATTGATTTCACATATTAATGACCTCATCATTTCCTACATTTTATAGGAAGCGTTGACATGGCATGACCTCCTCTATAGTCTGTTTTATCTAAGTATTGTTATGTTATAAACAACAAAATAAATAAATATGTGGCTAATATTTTTCATTATATAACTGATGAAGTAGTTAGATTTTTTATTTTAATTTTCTCTCAAAAAGGGATTTTTGGTCATAAAGGAAAATAATATATATATTTTTTATGATACCTGTTAATAGTAATTACTTATAATTAGTACTTGATTTCAGGGGTCAAAGTGACAGAGGTACAAGCAATGGTTGAAAACCATTTGAAAGATATGATTTTGAAAACATTTGATCCAAAAAAGGCTGACACTATATTTACTGAAGAGGGAGAAGTAAGTAACAGTTAAAAGAATTCTTTTGGTTTTTCATTGACTTATTGTTTTTATATTAATAAATCGAATACATTTTAGACTCCAGGTTGGCTGACAGAAATGATTGAACATCCAACATGGAGGTCACTGATTTACCGATTGGCTGAAGAGTATCCAGATTGTCTTATGCTTAACTTTACCATCAAGGTAACAACTGTGATTAATCATAGAACACATTTTTTCTTCAAAGTTTAGGAATTAGCGCTAATAAATTATGAATCATTTTCAGTTGATATCAGATGCTGGATTTCAAGGAGAAATTACAAGCATATCTACAGCTGCTCAACAAATTGAAGTATTTTCTAGAGTTCTAAAATCAGCAATAGTTGGATTTTTGCAAAGTTCTGATGATTGGCAAAACAGTGTGAATGAATGTGCAGTATGTATTATCATGTTTTTTTTATTGTCTTTATTAAGGGTGATCTAGTTATTATTTCTATTTCAAAAGTAAATAAGATTATTGTCAACTAGCTGTACGCGCAACTTCATCCGCATGAAAAAAGTAGCCTAAGTAAATCAGCTACCTGCCAATAAAAGTCCCGTCAAAATCAGTCCAGGCAATTCAAAGATTAACAAAAACAAACAGACAGACAGAAAATGTAAAAAAATGTTATTTTGGTGTATGTATTGTATGTATCTTAATATGCATGCAGTAAAAGCAGTTAATTCAATATTACAAACAGAAAATAAAATTTTACTTATATGTATAGATATAGATTAGATGGATTATTTCAGAAAATGGTTTGCCATGGTGCTCACACATATGTATACAGTCAAGTGATTGTGCATATACTTTCACAAGAGCCTAGAGGAGGCGCTATCATGAAAAGACTAGGCCAAGAGATAACTCGTTGTGCTCAACAAAGGTGAGCCTTTTAATCTTTTTTAGACAAGAGATAGATTAATTCACAAAAAAATATTTGTCTAGTATTTTAAATTAATAACTTGTTTATTGTATTAATATTTGTTTTATATAATCTTTAGTGGACATGATGTAACTCCAATCACATTGGCCCTCACATCTGGGGAATCTTGGCGCAACGCTCGAACAGCCCTTGCCGCCATGTTATCTCGTGGTGCCCTGAACCCTGCCGATATTTCAGTGTTATTCAGAGCTTACACACAGTCTGAACCACCACCAGTACATTTGCTAAGAATTCCTCAATTTTTGGGTATGCACAAATTTTTGACTATAATTGCAAGACTATTTCCGTAAGAGAACCCAAAATCAATCGTATCGTATTTTTCAATTTTAGATTGATTTTATTAGATAGATCTCATTTATTTCTACCTCATCACATTAACCAAAGTATAATGAAATATCTAGCAGGAACTCGGAAAAACCTGCTTCTAAAGTTCCATTATCACTACATAGTATAAAACATAGTCCCTATAAGCCGTCTGCCTGCCCTATGTATGCTTAGATCTTTAAAAGTACGCTACGGATTTTGATACGGTTTTTTTTAATAGATAGAGGTATAGAATAGAATAGGTAGAGTACGTATATAATATAAAATACATCCATATTGCATCCGTGCGAAGCCGGGGCAGGTCGCTAGTATTAATATATAATGAATTAATATATTCTCTTAAATGTAGTTAATAATTGAAAATAAACTTTGCAGTAATATTTATAAAAATGCAGATTGTTAAGTGGCTACCTCAAATAATTGGTTGTTACATTTTCTGCTATGACTATAATTCATACATATGAATGAAACCAAATTTAAATTTTTGAGTCCTTAAATCTTCAAAGGGTGACTCTTGGGACATTTTGTAGATAATTAATCCACAATTTAGCTTTAAATATTTTTTGACAAATCCTACCATTTTGGTGAAATCACGAAAACCCCGTTTTTTATATAGATGAATGAAGATACCTATAATTTTTAATTATAAGAAAATAAGATATAAAATCCATATTCACTAATATATAAAAAAATATACAATATGTAAAATATATAAAAAATGATAAATATTGCTTGACACATAATAAACAACAAAAATAAAATAAAATTGTATAAAGTGACTAATATTATATTTTGATAACAATATTAATATTGAGTTACTTAATATTGTATATTTGACAAATAAATATTTTAATCACTTCCTATACCATACATTGGCTTAACACATTGTTCGTTTTACAGAACTACTAGTCGATTCATTGTTTAAATCAGGGAGTAAAATAAATCCAGAACATAAATCAAAGTACATGTATTTATTGGCTTATGCTGCAAGTGTATGCGAAGGACTGACACCAGGCAGGCCTGTGAAGGATGAATTAAAAGCTACAGTACAAGCTATAGAAAAGGTGCATGCTGTTTGCAGCAGCTCTGCCAGCTCTAGTGAATTGATTGCCGAATTACCGACATTGTATCATTGTATAAGGTACTTAACAATTGATAGCTCCGTGTACTAGTAATTTGGTTAGAAATATTAGTAATTTTAAATAATGGTTTACTCACTGCCTGACTGCCTCGTTGGCCGAGTGGTCGTAAGTACGACTGCCGGGCAAGGGGTCTCGGGTTCGATTCCCGGGTCGGGCATAGTATTACTGGGTTTTTAAATATTCTCAGTAGTAGCACGGAGTCTGGAATTGTACCCGGTATATGGCAATAGGCTCACCCCCTATTACATGGGACTCGTAATATAAATAGTGAAAATTGGGTGTTACATTGTACAGTGGTTTAATGTGCACCTCTGCCTACCCCTTCGGGGATAAAAGGCGTGATGTTATGTGGTTTACTCACGTAAAATGATTGAGAAAAGCGTAACTAGTTTCAAGTCGTAATGAGTCTTATTCATGAGCAGCGTACAGTTGCGTAGCCGACACATTGAGTAAATCATTATTTTTAAATAATTCAGTACCGTAAAATGGGGTGAATAGGGACAGAAAAGGGGTGAATGAAATTCTTCATAGTATCGATTTACCCCTCTTCTATCCCTTTTGCCGTTCAAACCTTATTCACCCCATTTTACCGTATGTCTCACGATAGTTATTAATTATTACAGAAAGATAGAAATATTAAAATCTTGGTACAACTGATTCACATTATTTCAGATTTCCTGTCGTTGGAATGGGCGTTTTAGTTTGGGTTGAATGTGTTGTCACTGAGCCCTCATACTTCAAATTGTGTACAGAACACTGTCCTGTCCATTTGGCTTTATTGGACGAAGTTGCTTCTTGTCACCAATTACTGCACCACAGGCTCCTACGATTGCTTGTACAACTTTTCGAATCTCCACAAGATGAATTGGAAATCTTAGTACAGGTACCTAAAATACCTACACAATTTGTGTCATAGTGCATGATCACCATTTAATACAGTTTATTTGTTTTAGTTGGAACTAAGGAAAATGTTATTGGATAGAATGGTAAACCTACTAAGCAGGGGCTGCGTCGTGCCAGTTCTACGTTACATAAAACAATGTTGGCAGCGTGGTGATACTGATATTTCCTTGATTAGATACTTTATTACAGAGGTAAGATTGCTGTAAAAAATCTCTTTTTTCTTCTTGATATTCTTATAACTTAAGTAATTTTACAACAGGTTCTAGATGCGATAGCACCACCTTACACACCAGAATTTGTGCAATTAGTATTGCCAATGGTTGAGAATGAAGAAATTACTGGCACAATGAGGGCTGAAGGAGAAAACGATCCTGTATCTGAATTCATAGGTAAAATTTACACTTACGACTAATAATATTATAGTCGCATAATATGTATTAACTTTTTTTTTCTTTTTCAGTTCACTGCAAGGCACACTATGTTGTAGTGTAAACAAGAATGAAATAAAATAGCATAACATACTATTATAAATATGTTTAATTTTGCTTAATATTATAGGAAATGGCTTACAAATAAAGGCTCAATTTAATCAACAACCCCTGGCTGCTTTTCTTTCATAATACCTTTTAAGAGCTTCTTCAAAAACTATTCCTACAGTTCTCTTTTTCCAAATATCAATCTTCTCTTTTGGTACAGGTTCTTTAATTTCAGTATTTTCATTTTTAATTTGTATTGGACTACTGTCTTTTTCTTTTACGCTTATGCTTTCACTATTTTCCAATTTAATTTTCAAAGTTTCTTCATTTTTTTTGTCCTTTTCTTCATCACTAGACTCATCTATGGAAAAATCTGAATCTGCATCTATATTGTCTGATTTTTGTTTCTTTGCCAATCTAAGATCATCTAAATTGACACGATTAATCTCTTCATCAGAGTCTTCTATTTCACCATCTGACAATCGAGTTCTATCTGATGATTTTCGCTTTCTATAATTTCTTTTCTTTTGTGTATCAGGATTTGTAGTAGTTTTTGTAGATGAATCATTCGTTTTGAGGTTTTCGTCTAGTACTTCAAGCTTTGTTGCCTCTACATTCTCTTCGGTTTTATCTCTTCCTAACTTCTGTTCATATAAATGACGGTAAAAACCACCTGAAAAAAACAACTGCTTGATAAAAGTGTAATAAATCTAATTAGTTATTGCACAGAAGAACACACAGAAAAAATATGTATTCAGATATTTAAATAATGACCATGTTAGCAAAGAACCTACAACTTTTACTATTAATATTGTTAAGTACTGTTAAGCTACATTAATAATATAAAGTTGAAATTTAAAAAATAACCTAAATCGTTTTGTTTCGTAACATCTCCTATATTCTCTAAATACTCTTCTCTTTTCTCTTTCTCTTCTTCTAACCGCATTTCCTCCAATTTCTTTTTGTATGCTGATGTCACAAATACCTCCTTATCCTTAAATTCATCACCTTCCTTTTCTCTTTCTTTTTGAACCTAAAAATAAATATTATAAGTTTAGATGTTACTTAGGAACTGATGGACTCACTCAGTCCATGGCTTCCTGAACAAAACCTAAATGTAAACAACCAACAAATTAATGATACCAACTTGTCTCTCAATACGCCTCTCATTTTCAACTTTACGCTTGTTAGCTGCCTTCATGAGATTTTCTATGTATTGGGGTTTCTTTTCTTCCTTTGTTTTAACTTTCTCCTTATCTTTTTTGCTAACCATTTCTTCATATATTTCATCATACTGGTAAACCGTTGGATCTTCATTCAAAGCTTTTTCCTGAGTCAATTTTGCCTGAGAAAACATTAAGATAATAAACTATATAAAAAAACTATATAACTATTTAAATAAATTAAAGAAGCATAATTAAATTTTATCACAGCTTATTTGGCAAAGAGGAAGATTTTGACTTACCTTTCTATTCATAAGATCGCTAGGTCGAGGCAAAGCTGGTCTTTTCTTGGATTCGTCGTCTGAATCAGAATCGTTACCAAAAACATTCCTTGAAGCCTGGAATGTGGGCTTCGGCTTACTTTTATCAGATAATATAAGGCCATACCTGAAAAACAAAGTAAATTGATAAAACGTGCCATTACGATGCTATGATTTGACAAACATGATTTACAAACTTTTTATTCGACATTTCAGAAACAATTCACCGAAATATTTGATAGAATGAGATAGAGATTATGTTATATTTCGGTTATTATTATTCTTCTTTTAAGCCTTTTTGGGCCCGTCGTGTCGTTCAGGACAGGTTAAAGGATATTGGATAATTTCACTATAATTAAATAATATAATCTCGGGACAAGTTTCAATAGTTGGCAAACAGAGCAAACTTATGGAGAGATTGACCATAGACTTATTATACTCTTTGGATTGACTGACCACAGATAAAACTATATACCTACTAGTCATAGACCAGAGACAGATATACACAAAATCAAAATATCACTGATATGATAAGACATAAACTTCACTTGGTCATCTGTAATGGTGGATAGAACTAGGGATGTGACTATTGAAACTGTAGAAGTATCGATATTTTGGTATTGGTTTTAGTTGATTCATCGATAAAATATCATTATTTTATGATTCATCTGGATTTGATTTTTATCTATACTCCGTCTGTTCTGTCTGTCCGACAAATGAACGATTTTAAAGTGAATTTCGTTAAAATTATAATAATAATAATAAGCCTCTTATCCTGAACTGCTTTTTCTTTCTGTAGTTGTCTTTAGTTGTCTTTAGTTATAGCATGTCTCTTAGTTCAGTGTGCCTTTTGGCAAAGGCCTCCTCTAACATTCTCCATTGAACTCTATCTCTAGCAACCCTTCTCCATTTTGGGCCTGCCGTCAATTTCAGTTCATCTTCCCATCTCTTGCTTTGTCTACCTCTGTTTCTTTTCCCATCTCTAGGGTACCAGTCTGTTATGATGTTGCTCCACTTCTCTTGGGTGCAGCGCAGCATGTGCCCGGTCCATCTCCATTTCTGACTATCTATTCTAGTAAGTATGTCTGTGACTTTTGTCTTACTTCTTATGACGGTGTTTCGTACCCTTTCTTGTTTCTTAATACCTATCATACTTCGTTCCATAGCTCTTTGGCAATGTTGCAGCATGTTCCTATGATGTTTCGTAAGAGCCCAGGTTTCACACCCATAAGTAATACATGGGAGAACGCAGGTATTGAACACTCTCCTTTTGATACCAATACTAAGGTCTGTGGATTTCATGATTTCTTTCAGTGACCAATATCTTTTCCATCCGTTAGTTGTTCTTCTATTGATTTCTTTCGTAGTTATGTCTATATGTGAAATGATTTGTCCTAAGTATATATATTCGTCTACATACTCAACAGGTTGGTTGTTAATTTTTATTTCGTTTTTGTTTGAATTCGTAAGTAGCTTTGTTTTGCTTATATTCATAGATAGGCCCACATTCTCACTTTCTTTATTTAGATCTTGTATCATTTTTTCTAGAATCTTTGGTTGTTCTTCAAACAAAACAATATCATCAGCGAATCTAAGGTGGTTTAATTTTTGGCCATCTATATTTAATCCATGCTGGTCCCAGATTAGCTTCCGAAATATGTTTTCCAGCACCGCCGAGAACAGCTTTGGGGACATCGGGTCGCCCTGTCTGACGCCTCTTTTTACTTGGAATGTTTCCCCCAAGGTTTCCAGTTGTACTCTTGCCTTACTATTGGAATAAATGCTTTTGATGGTGTTTATGTACACTGTCGGTATTCCCTGGCTTTGTAAGCTTTCCCATATGGCTGTGTGGCTAATGCTGTCAAATGCCTTAGAATAATCGATGAAGGCCATATATAACGGTTTGTTGTACTCGTTGTATTTTTCCATTATTTGCTTGACTGTGTGGATGTGGTCTATCGTGGAGAAGTTTTTTCTAAAGCCAGCTTGTTCTTTCGGTTGGTTAAAATTAAAACACGAGAAATATTTGAAGTAATAGTAGGTTAAGTATCTCTGGGTCACGTGGTTTTCTTTGTTTACCTTTAGTTAATTACCTAAACAGATGGACTATAGCTACTAAACATTACTAAAAATATTAGCAGTTACTGCGTGCACTATCGCTCCGGTCGATCGTGTCCATACATTCACATCATACCTTTTACGATACATATGTATCGTAATTTATGAAAAGGATTTTCCATCAACTGGTCAACATTTACATTCTTAAGATTAAGTAATTTTTGAGGGTTGATAAATAAAACTGTTTCAAAGTATTCATAAAATCAAGATTTATAATATAGTTACAATATCTTTGTATTTTTCGTACTGCTTCTCTGTAGGTAATGTATTCTGCAAAACCATCTTTCGAGACGACTCCAGAACTGGTTCCAAGTTCATTTTCATGCACAGATCTGGCTAGAGGCTGCAACATAAATAGTATAATTTAACTTACTTGATCCAATCGAACATAGATTATCTCTATAGATTCTATAGGTACTGTACTAAGCTCTGAACGAAAATGTTTGTACATTACAATGATAGTGATAGATAGCGGAGGAGTTATGTTTCATTTGTTTGCTTCATTTGAGTCCCTATAGCGGTATTTGATGAAAATACAATTTTGAAAAAAAAAATGCTTTTCCCGCAAATATTTTTCCGTATCTAATTTTGTACAAAAATTATTCATATATTGTATTATTTATAACATTACGTAGGTATTGATTATGGTGGGATATTGTCGATAAAATGAAATTTTTGACGAGTATTTAATGTTTTTTGCATTTTGTCATTATGTCAAATTAATGTACATTATTTATTATTATATATTCAGAATTTAGTAAAGTTTTTGTTCTACTTTTGAAGCATTTATTATGTACGATAAAATTATCGATACGGGAACAAACATGTACATCACTATTTTTCAATGAAAAAAGTTTCAGACGTATTTCAACGAAAATTAATGAAAATAAGCACTGCATTAGTTAGAAAAGTATTGTATTTAGTCAATTTGCAGCAAGCGCACTTAAATAGTTTAAAAAACAGAGATATTTTAATGAAAAATAACAGTACTTACTGGTGTAATATTACACCTGCCGGTTTAGTGATATTTTTAGGGCTACATCCAATAACACTACACCCGGGCATAGTTCTTCTCACTAACCAATAATTTCTTTGTTTACCATGCACAAAAATAACAGGAATTCTAAAAAATTTCGTTACAAAATATTATTGACCAATGCTTTGACAGCTGATGTACTACTGACATGCACTGATAACAGAGACTAAGATGGCGAATTCGGCAGAACTATAAAAATATTTACAACTTAAAATTAACTACAACTAAATCATTGACGTTGACGTCGTAGACGAAAGAAACCTCTGTTCTGTCAATGTCAAAAAATCTGTCAATCAATGGTGTAATTGTAATGTCAGTTCAAGTGAATTTAATTTATTTCTGCAAGTAAGGTACAAATTCAATGTTGATTGACTTGATTGGTGATTTGTAGATTGTGCTATTTTTGTGTGTTGTTTTCTTATAATAATATCGGGAAACTGAAGTTAGAAAAATGGAAACCAAGCGTCACAAGCGAAAAGTTTTGAAATTTCCAGAAACTGCTTACACATATTATATCAAACAATATTGTAAAAAAAAAGGCACTTCTGAAACCAAGGTACTCACACATGTTGTTTCTAAAAACATACTTAGTGTTTCTACTATTTTATAGAATAAATTTAATAATACTAAGTTTTTAGCACTCACTGTTATAGTGTGTACAATCACAATATATAATTTGTAACTGCTAACCGTGCAGTGGTTGGGTGACATCACTTCAAGTACAACGTATTGCAGGTTAGATTCCCTAGCCGGTCAAAGTACCTTCTTTCTTTATGGTATTTTTTGAGTTAAATTACCATTATTAGCCTGGAGTCAGGAAGTTAGGCTGTATGTGACTCCTGTGCCTTGGAAAGCACGTAAAGCCGTTATTCTTACGCCTGATCTCGCCCGGTCGTGTCGGTCTACAGTCCCATCGTATTCAGAAAATTAAACTGTCAAACACCAAGCGGTCACCGGTGACCGCAACCTATTGTTCTTTAATTGTGTCTATAATGACGGTACTCAACGAGTTAAGGGTCAGAGAGTGGACTTGTGTTTACATTACACACACACTTTGCACTACATATAATATCTCCTATGTAGTAGGCTAGTCTAGTTAGACTTGCCATCATGATCAAAATCAATTGGGAGAGATTTATTATATTTATTATAAGTTTTAAGTTTTGAAAATATTTATATCATGTTTTTTCTATTCTAGCATCCTAATGTATTAGTTGAAGCAACTAAGTCATGGTTGACTTTAACAGAAGCTGAGAAACAGCAACTTACCAAAGCATATAAGGAAAAAGAACACAAGATCAGACTACACTATTTTGATCAGTTGAAAAATGCAGAACCATTCTTGAAAGTGAAAAATGTATCTGGGTAAAAAATTGACCAATTTATTTTAACAATTCGTCATATTTTTCAGTATATTATGTGGAGTAATAATATACATATTTTTTTTGTGCTTGACTTTATTTTCTATTTTATTCTGGTCTATGCAGAGTATTAAGTAAACCAAGTAGCAAGTACTTACTTAACCTTAATTGAAAAATAATAAATAAAAGTTCTTAGTTGAAAAATACAAATTATTTTACTCTACTTTTTCATGCATTTGTAGATGACCTTTGAATTAACTAAAATCACGGGTTACTCACGTGAATATACTAAGAAAAGCTCTACTAGTTTCGAACCCCAGAGGGGTTCTTCCTCATGAGCAGCGAGCGCGGTCGCGGCGACGTCGCGCAGCTCACTCCGGCGACCGTGACACGTGAGTAACTTGCGATTTTAGTAAATTTTGTATGTGTCACAATAGTTATTATAAAGACCTTTGAATTCACCCATAATGTGTTGCATCCATGCATGGTGTCCTTTGTCTACTAACTCATTACAATGTTAATAAAAATTACAGACAGATAAGCAAGGAATTTGATAAAAGTAATTCACCAATTCAGGAGTGTCAAGAAGAGGTTGAAGAAGACTGCTTGCAAATAGACACAGATAAACACCAAGTAATAGGAAATAATGAATTGGTCACTGTTGATTGTAATGAAGATTTACTAATAGATAATGTGTAAGTACATTTTTAGATTCAACTACTAAAATATAATTATCCAGACCATACCATATTTACAATTTTGTTGGTGATTTTAATTTTTAGATTAATGTAATTTTATTTTTAGTATCGAGGATTTACAAATTAATCAAGAACTTCAAGAACATGGTCCTAATGAATCCCTTAGGAATGTAGAAGAAATATCTTGCATGCCTCTGGTAGAACCATCACCTCCCACAATAAAGTAAGTATAGAACTTGAATTTAATATATGCATACAGAGGCTTGTCCATAATTTATGCAAAATATGTAAACATTAACAGGAAAATTAGGTATGGAACCTCTGAATGGAGATGAAACCATCTATAACGGCTTCCAACCAAAAGAGGGCAGCATCATGTTTTTTGCGAAATTGACATACTTACATATTTTTAGAATCCGCTTTTTTCTGCGTCTAACCATATCCGAAAGGCATCGTAAATCATCATCATATAATGAGTAAAAACTTTTAATATTTTAAAATATATTAATATATATTTTAAAAGTTTTTTGTATGTATATTAATATATACATATAAAAATCTTGTAGGTACTTACAATTTCCTTGAAGAATATTATTTCGGATTGAAATAAATTTAGGACGTCGCCTTCCATTTGACCATAGGTATATTCGCAACTATTGTTCCATTTAAGCTTATCCAACGGTTTATCACTGTTGCTATTGAGGGGTGGGCCCAGACTCCATACATTTGGTTCGCATTGTCCTTTATCAATTAAGCAACTATAACAATTTCCCCTCAACGTATTGGGACTAGGCTCCATATAGTCATGAAAAGAGCTTTCGACATACGTCTGGACGTTATTGGCCGGTGGGTAGGTACGTTTCCTATACATGTTTGCCCGTCATCGACGTCATCTATGTTTGTAATTGTTATTCAATCACGTCAAAACGACTGATTGAGTAGCGAAGAAATTTGGAACAGTCAGCCACTAGTTGAGTAGCAGTACCAGCAGAAACTAGTTAAGTATCTAAGTATATAAAGTACATATATTAGTAATTTACAAACTTTAATCAACGTGTTTTAATTGCGACTGTAGGTTGACCTCGAAAAATACTTACTTTAAATATTAAGCAATGACGTGGTCCGCCCTCTATCCCGAAAATGGTTCAAGACATTGTTTAAAGAAAATTATAAAATCGTTGTAAAAAAAATAATTTTCGACAATTATCGTGTCTGTCTCTGCGCCTTGCTATACAAATATGCTAAATGCTGTATACCTTGGCCAAAACGAATAGCATAATTATATGCGGGCCATTATTTTGTTCATAAATGATTTTAATCGATTCTGGGTTCTTTTTTAGGCATTCTCCTTTCTATAGATGCGGGCGCTATGTGATATGTAGGTTTTGAGACAAGTTTTATGTTGTCAAAGTGAAGACTTTTCACAATTCACACATTGTTGCCCTAATGAAAGTTTATTTGATACTAAAAAAATTAACACTATCTAAATGGATAATTTAGTAAAAGAATAATGTAATAAAACAATTTTGTTTCAGAACTAGTAAAGATTTGTTTTTCATGCTTAATTCTGTAAATGGATCCAGCACCTTAAATTGGACAGACCTAACACCATCACAAAAGAGCCAGTACAGAAGTGCCGTATATTTATTGAAAAAAGATTACATCAACAAATATAAAGAATATTTGTATAGTTTAGCTCCAAAAGAATTATTTGATTATTATCATAAAATCATATTTTAATAATTAAATAAAATACATTTGTAACATCATATCTTTTATTTTCTTATGCAGTAAGTGCACATTGGATGGTGAAACAACCACTGTTCTTGAGACCCCTTCAAAATATATGTGGCCAAACCCATCGCCCATCCCTACTTACGGCGTTGCAGTCCATCTGATTTTAGTGAAGCGCCTTAACAGGTCTACGTTGGAAATAGGCTTGGCCCAGGAAAATCCGACATTAAACGAAACTTAGATCTTACGTGATATTCCACAAACATAGGGCTTGGCTTACTATTAAATCCAATTCCAATCGATGGACATTGTGTTGTAAAGTTTCGTACTCTTGAGAAGCAACACTAGCGCTCATTGCATCCGGATTGCGTGGATATTGAATGAACTAATGTTATTTTAACAGCTACGGTAGGGGTTGTATAGTCTTGTGTACACCTCTGCCTACCCCTTCGTGGACAAAAGGCGTGATGTTATGTTATTTACATATTTCACAAAATAAAAATCAAAGTTTTTTAAAATATTTCCACGTGAATCGAAACGCCCTGTGGTTGGCTGGTAATACTCGTGACGTCACACGCTAGTGAACAGTTGTTTTGCCCTATTGATTGTCGTTGGAGTTTACTGTGTTTTGGCTGTAATTTTTATTTGTAAGCTATTTATTTATTTATTTTATTTTATGGCATAAGCCGGTAAACGAGCAGACGGATCACCTGATGATAAGCAATCGGCGTCGCCCATGGACACCTGGAACACCAGAGGCGTTACAAGTGCGTTACCGGCCTTTTGGGGATTAGGAGTATTTTTGAAGAACTACTGGACTTTTTTATAACTAGTGTTATTAACATTAGTTTACCATCTTAAAAATGGACGCAAATTCTGTGCAACCCAGCCATCGCGAAGGACACACCGGGCGTCGGGGATCGCGGGACGATCTCCGGTCACCGTAAGCGCGGGCCTGCGGACGGCGAGCATGAATGGCTCCCCGTTCGACTAGAAACAGACCCGAGCGTACGGCGCGTCGCGTTCCGCGCGCGCCTCAAAGATCCATCAGACCACCACAGATGGGGCCCAACAGGGCCGATGCCGATTCAAAGTTGCGGAGAACCTAACGGGTTACCGGGGCTCCGGCTCGACGTGCAGGAGAAGGAACGGGGTGGTTTTAGTCAGTAAGAGTGTGACACTCCCTCCCGCCCCCCGCCTCACCCAGGCGGGAGCAGTCACAGTTATCTATATCTGTGGGAGCAGTCATTCGATGAATTTCCCCCCTTAAAAAAATGCACCTTTGTAGGTACAGTCAGCACAGTTATTTAGAATATAGATAGAATAGGTAGGTAAAGGTAATAAAATAAAGATTGAAATAAAAAGTACAAGTATTGTACAAAGATACCAAAATACTTTGAAAGTATTTTTATTAATGTTAGACACGAAAACCAACTAAAAGCGGACGCACCTTTTGACCGCCCATCTAGACAATACGCGATATGTCCCACAGCGTCACGTTACAATTGTATAACGTATCTATAGTAAAACATAGAATGGGACTAATGTCACTAATGTTAAATAAAAACTGATGCCGTATTTTCATATTTTATATCATAAAAAAAATAAATATGAAAACACAACTTTATGTGATCCGAGGGTGTATGTGAAATTGTACGTTTGTAAACGCACACGCCCACGACACAGGAGCAAATTCTAGTGTTTTATTTAACGATTCACATTCAATCAATCATTCCCCAAACCGACCAGAAACAGACCCGAGCGTACGGCGCGTCGCGTTCCGCGCGAGCCATCAGACCACTACACACGGGGCCCAACAGGGCCGATGCCGATTCGGAGTCGCGGAGAACCTAACTGGGTAACTGGGGCTCCGGCTCGACGTGCAGGAGAAGGAATGGAGTGGTTTTTTTAGTCAGTAAGAGTCTGACACTCCCTCCCGCCTCACTCAGGCGGGAGCAGACATTCGATAATTATCGCCCCTTAAAAACAAAAATAGTATATGTATAAAATCATACATCGGCAAAGAGGGGGCATTCGTATATCGGTGCTCAAGTCAGTTCTCTTTGGATATTGTAGTATTTATTGGTAGCTTTATGTATGTAAAGTGGGAAGTGTAATTTATTCTTGTGCCTATCTATTTATAAAATGTAGAAAAATGTACGCAATTATTACAAAAGCCGATCAACTAATCATCTTTACTCATTTTCGACATCTGGCTGGCGTAACGCACACACTAAAACCTTCAGAAGAAAAAAACAGCATCATTATTTAAATAATTTATTAATAAGGATTAGGTATATTACTTCTTACAGAGATTAAATCCTACGCTAATGCTCACTACAAACATCTTGAGGTTGACCGAAATCGTCACAAAATAAGAGGTCTGACAGTGCCTGGTAGTGAGAGGTAAATAAGGTCAGTTGCTGTTTATGACTAAATTTTGACTGAAGATTCCTAAGTCATATCGAGTTAAAATAATTAGTTTGTAATCATCAGAACAGAAAATATAACAATACTTAGTTCAAGAACTTCCGATACAGCCTAAAACTGCGTTGGGCATTGACGAATCAATGTCATGACAATATTAAAGATCTATAGGTTCTTAGTTAATAAGTACCTACTCTTAAACTTTGGTTCCTAGATGTTTTATACATGTCTAATAAAATATTAATAGATAAATGTCGAAATGTATTTAATGTTGAATGTCTTGTAAATGTATTTAAAAATTACTGGCAGATAACCAACCTAAAATTGTAGGTAATGGCGGCGGTGGCATTTCGACATTAATTGATGTTTATGAACGATATTCTTTATAAAAGTAGCGTACTAATGAATTAATATTATGAATTAGATTTTTCATTTCTTACGTGGTTTTTGTTAACAAATTATAGTGATAGCGGTACATAGACTGACAAATGTCAGGGTTGACCTCTTATTTTGTGACGAATATAGTGGGCACTACATCATTTATATAATTATTCGATTTTTAAATAGGTATAGTAATAATACTTCTAAAATGAGATGATTTTAAAATCTAAGGTCTATTAACACTTAATACAACCACATCGCAGCAACGAAAAGTGGTTACCATATCAATAAAGGTGTGCTGATTGCTGCGACCACAAACTTCTTTTACATCGAATGTTATATAATATTCACCAAGGACATTAACAAACAGGCGGACATAAGTATTTTGAAATAATGACTGTGGCATCTGGCTACTATATACTTATACGCAGAATACACACACATTGACACCAAAGACATCCGTCGTATGGCATGAGTCGTCATTACGCTTCATATATTTCGGTGTTGCAAGTACACGACATAAATACACCACTGATATTTGGTGTTCCAATCATTTTTAAGTGACATTACGTCCGCTTTTTTAATGTCCTTGATATTCATTTCACAAAGATCCAATTGATGTACAAATCTATAAATTTTCACACTGACTACAATTAATTGATACTGTGTTTGTAGTTTGTACATAGCTCGATTCAGGTTTTAGTTCCATAAGTATATTCAATATTATGTCACATTATCGCAGTATGGCTTGCCACTCATTTGCTATGTTGCCGGAGGATGCAGTACGACCTATGTTCACGGTTAAACAATAAAATGTGGCCAGTGTGAAATGAGCTTAACATTTTTAATTAAAAACTCGACTACGTGTTTTTATTTTGTTTTGGTGTGGTTAGTTGCTACGTGTGTATAGGCCCTTAGGTTCAATCGTGGGAGGGATGCAACAAAGAAACCCCAATCATATTAATATAAACCATAGGGACTATATTGTATTTGGTTATTCTCAATATTATAATTTTTATATAAAAAAAAAATTAGTCTGTGAATAGTTGGATACTTTGTTTTTGTTGTACTTGCGATAAACATTGCTATCAGTAGACGTATCATTCTGCTGTCGGAGAAACTAAATAAACTTTTATCCTCAGCAAATTGTATAAAAACTAATTCTTTTATTGTGCTCCTTGAGAATGACAAATGAATTGACTTTTAAATAGAGAAGTAAATAAAATTTGATATTTTATATTCAACAAGCTATATATCTAGGTTCCAAATTCTATCACTATATTGTGGTCAATATATCAGAAAATTTTATAGTTAACAGTTTCTAAACATTTTTGAAATCGTAATAATATTTATTTACCCCTGACTTACAGTCTATTTCCCGCAGAGGAGACCAATGGCCATTCCGGCAACAAACGATGCCAGAAATACGTGAGACTCAGTAGCACGATAGTGATCATCTCCAGTTATGTTATGGACCCAGCGTTTAGCTTTGACTTCTTTTTTCTTCAATAGGTCTTCAGCTTTGTCCAATTTGCGGTCCACAAATCTCTCAACCTTTAACAAAACACATCTATATAGCTACTGAATTATCTACGAACGTACTACTGTCGACACCATTGAAATATTGCGGAAAATTTAAGACGTCTTGATCTCGAGTGCCGTACTACACCCATATCCATATATCATAAAAACCCTTTGAATCATAAGAAACTAACGATTCAAATTAGGGGTAAAATAGGTAGATATTAGCTATTCACAGATGTCTCATATTATAATTATGTAGTTTGCGAATGGAAAGTCGTTAATTGATAAAGATAAATTAGCGGATGTAACTTGTAGCATAATGTGGGTTAGACTGCAAAAAAATTACATTAGTTGGTATAGTGTGTCGGTACCGGTTTCTTTATTTAAAAAGTGATTGCCATTTTAATGGGTGCATTTATGCTTTGCTCATGGATGAATACTTTTACTCTCAAAATATCTAACTTACACATAATTCTATATTGTCGTTTGTTTGTAGATAATCAATAGGTTTATAAATTAATTATTAAGGGAATGTGAGTACCAATACAAACAGCTTTAGTTTAACCCATCGTGTGTCTAAACGTGGATCCACGAAATGTAATACTAAATAACTACACATGAAATGTAATAATAAATACATAATAAAAAAAACAATTGATAAAAATTTTTGAAGGAATGTAGACAAATCTGCTCTGCAGTGCTTTTTAATTTTTTGGTTTATTTCTAGTGATGTCTCTCACAGTTTTCCAGTGTGTAAATTATTTACAAAGCCAATTTTTCCCATATAACGTGATCTGAAATATAGCTATTGGTATATATTTAAATAGACCTTTTTATTACTGTTTCAGTGTGATTTAATGCTTGTATAGTCAGTGGGTACAATTTTGGCTTGTTTATAAATTGTATGTTATCAATGTTACACTAGTTGTAGCCTTGCATGAGTTAATACTTAACCTGATTATTATGAACATGAAAATTAATGATTTTAATACATACAATACAAAAAGAAATAATCACTTCTGTTAAACTAAAACAGGTTTATTCTGCATCTAGTTTTTATCCATAATGTAAAGTCCACAAGCATATATATATACATAGGTATATCAATATTCTACTTTAACTGCTTCTTTTTTATAATAAATAATACATTTCAAAATTATCACTTGTACAAAGTTATAGACTTAATCAAAATAATCATAAAATAATAAAGTGTTGTATAATCATTTTACAAACTCACATTAAATATCAAAAATTTAATCATGATGAAGCAATACCAAAAAAGAATCCTCCAGTAAACCCTGCAGAATAATAGGTATTGTTTTTGACAAATAGCAATACCTGTAACAAATAAACTGTATTTGAAATATGACTTCTTTATTATCTGAAATATTTATCTATCATAGATTTAATTAAAAATAGACCCAGAATAAGTAAAGCCCTGTGATTCTATTTAGTTAAAACACATGCATTAATAAAGACCCATTGGTACTTCTCGATTCTAGAGACTCCATTATTTTAATTTCATTTTTTTAAATGGATTCCTTTATATTAGAACAAATAAATGATAATAAAAATGAATATAACTCCTACATGCGTTGGCACAATCTTGTCATTGAAATTGTTTTTAAATTACATATGCCTGAGTATAAATGTTGCGTTGCTTTATACAAAAAGTGGTGGGGTTAATAAATACATTATAAAGAAATGTAATGTAGTAAAGAACTACCTTGTTTGCTTCAATAACATAGACAGTATATTTTCAGTGTAAATTCTTTGCATTATTGAGTATGAAAGAGAATTGTGTCATTTAACCCGTTGAAATTCATCCCCTAAATTTGTTCATACAAAAGTAGTCTTTAAGCATTCGAAATAAGGTCTATAATATAGGTAGTGGAGAGCGGTCACCGGTGACCGCTTGGCATTCTATGGGTTAATATTATTGCCACTTCCAATTTCAAAACAGGGTTACATGTAACAATGTGTTTATTTAACTTTAACAAAACTAAAGATGTCCCACCTTAGATTTTGTTATGGGTAAATATACAAATTAACATGTGCTTCATGTGTGTTAATTTGACACGCGGGAATCAATCCATATACCAATCATGTTGAGCCACAACCAGTTGCTCAGCTACTCAACCATACAGAAGTAAGTCAAAGTTTGAAATAGCATTTCACTACTTATCTCAACTTTGGTGCAACTCAGGCACATGGTCATGTAAAGCAACTGCATAAACATTCATTAATATGCAACTACATATTAATGAATGTTTACATTTGAAAAAAAATTACTATAATTTCTGAGTAATGGAAGTCACTATCTTTTATAGCATATTCTCAACTCAAACTACATATATTTTTAATCATAATTTAAAGTTGTTCATCTCTTAGGGCTATATTTCACCTGGACATCATGGCGGTGCCGCGGTGGAACAAGTCACCACAACCAACAAAATGTATACAAGTCTATAGAGCATTACTCCCCCCGTTTCCGCCTGGCTACACAACCAATAAGGCGCGCAACCAGGTCAGACACAAGTATTCTAATGCTAGATGAGGTCTATTTTAAATTTTTGATACAGTTGCTGTGTGATTGTGGCTCTGGTGTCTTATTTCGTAACTTAAGGACACCACGATGGCGCGACTGGATGCACCATCATGATATCTTGGTGAAAAATAGCCTCTACTTTGCTGTGTATTAAATTGTAGTATTAACCCGTGGTATGCCAGAATGTATATCTAAGACACAATGTATTTTCTATCGTGTCTCATATACTAGCACTCAAGAAGTTAAAAGCAAACTTTTGTGTATAAAGTAGCCTTGATATTATTTGAAATGCATTTGTATACAAATTGAATTATTCTCAAGTCAAATAATAATTATTCCCAAAACAATTAAAAAAGTTAACTTAATTCAAAAATACTTTTATATTTGATAATAGTTTATCGTTTTTGGGACCATTTACATTACACTTAGAATAAAATAGTAAGTAGCTCTAGTAATAAAGTGTACTGGGCAAGGATAGGAGTATAGACTTAAGGGCAAAGTGAGTGAAGCGAAATAAGCAAGCTTCTCCAGATGAAATTGAAGATTTAAATTGTGCAGATATTTCATATATAAAGCAAGACTATGACAAAAAATGATTGACAATATTGTGCTTACTTTTTCAATCCAATCAGGAGATTTTCCAGTTGCTTCCTTTTCTATCTTATCACTGATTTTATCAACTCTCTTGTTGATTTTATCCCAATTAATATCAATGTATCCCTTCTGGCTGGCAATGTGTAATAGAATAACACTGCCTCCCAAACCAACTGCAGCTATCTTCCCTATTTTCATAGATAGAAAACCAGTTATCCTGTAATAAATGAAATTAACTTTTTAAGATTAAATCATCTTAGTCTGAGTCATAGCCTTACAACAAAGGTATTTACAAAGATGTGACCTTGTACAGTTAAGTAATAAAATATCAAGATGTCAATACCAATCAACCGACCTGCGCATTATGTACCATTTTATTATTCAATAACATCTGATCCTGTATAAACACAATGATTAATTGAGATGTATGTATTAAAAGAAAAAGATGAATGCAAAGTGCACTTAGTCACTTACCACCCTGACGTAGTTCCTAAAATTAACTGCTTTGTTGCAGACGTTTTACCAATATCTGATATTGCCTTTTCAATAAAATTCTTTGCATCGTCTACTATCTTCTTTGCATCTTCAGCAGCATCCTCTTTACCTGGCCTAGCCATTTCAGATGTTTTCTTAAATTTGCTTTGCTTGCAAAAAAAGATTTTTTGAAGATTCGAAGTGATTGGAAGAACGAAAATTCTATTCTTTGAAGAACGAAGATAAGGATGACAGTTGACACTTGACAGCGTGACAGATAAGCCAACATAGCATTGACAGCATGGCACAGATAACTATAATTCAGATACACATGTAAGTGTACACACTCATGGGTAAGAGGGTAAAGGGTTTTAGTGTACATTGGACACGTATATGTATATCTATAGATTGGAAATACCGTTATGGTTATGCTTGCCCCATTAGTTCGGATTCGGATGCTGCTACACGCTACGACTGCTACGAGCTGTAGTCGTTTGTCATATATATATACGACTTGTTTAATTAATCATGAAAACGAATAATGGTGACACAGTCGTTCTTTTACTTCAACGACCTAGACCTTAGGTTGAGGAGGAAAAAGATCTTATAAATATAAAATAATCAAATGTTAATTGATTATTACTGTTACAATAAAATCTCACCTATTGTAATCTTAGATTGATGTATTATAGTAAATTAATAAATTAATGTTTATTCGATAATTGTTAATTACTTACGTTAGTTACAGGGTTCTGAATCAAAGCAAGGGTCTAACGAGTTTTGCATGTTGCACGCACGTATAATAGTTAACTGGGGGTTGTATGTAGGTAACTCCCAGTACACATGTCAATGTCAAATCAGAAAACTTCAGAAAAGAAAACGACGAGTGTGTCTTGTGTAGTTTTATGTGCGTTTCCCGAAAGAAGAAGATAATAACATATATTTTCATACTATGTGACTTAAAACTGGAAGGAAACATATAAAATATGCTTCCATATTAAATGAACTAAGAGTAAGAAGCTTAAACAATACAAAACAGTGAAATTTGCTACATCTTAATATTTAAATGAAAATCATGAAAGTTCTTAAATTTAAAATATTTCAAATGAGTAATTATTATCAAAGAGCACATAACTTTCGCAACTTCCAGCAATGTTTTTTGTACAGAAGAAAAAGCAGTTTAAGGTTATGGGTAATTAAACTTTTATCTAGCAAAATACTACACATACTTGCTTTAAATCTAAATAGTCTCAATACTTGATTATAGTATCTTAAAAATACCAATTTAATGTATTAAATACTAATATTTACTTAAAACTACCTATTACTAGTATTATTTAGAAATATGAATCAAACAGAATACCTATATTATATTTATTCACTCAGGTATTTTTAAAATCATAACTCATATTTACTTACGTTTTAATCTTTAGGAACAGGACATAAACACTGAAATTAAATTGAACATTGAGAAGCAATGGTCTAGTGTTGTCAGAAGATCAGCAGTCAACAATGGGAAGAAGCCATATTATGTGTTACCTATGTTTCCTTACCCATCAGGGAATTTGCACATGGGTCATGTTCGGGTATACTCTATCTCAGACACAATTGCAAGATTTGAACAGTTAAATGGAAGGTATTCTGTTCACCCTATTGGATGGGATGCTTTTGGTCTACCAGCAGAAAACGCAGCAATAGAAAGAAATATTCCACCTAGCCAATGGACTAAATCAAACATAAATTCTATGAAAAATCAATTAGAGAAGTTGGGATTCAATTTTGATTGGAAAAGAGAAATCTCTACATGTGATCCTAGCTATTACAAATGGACACAATTTATATTTTTAAAGTTATTTGAAAAAGGTTTAGCCTATCAAAGTAAGGTAATGTTCTTGTTCTCATCTTAATATTTACTTAGCATAATCTTTTCCTGATTCTTGTAGAGAACTCCAATGAACTAGAATAAGTTTACTGGCCTATTAGTGAGGCTAGTGTAGTCTAGTTCATTGTGCTATTGGGTCCTGTACTATCAGTTGTTACTGGCTTCCCATTTAAGCCCTTAATTGCGGACAAAAACTGTTAAAGGTTAATCCTTCGTTAGCATCGGGCATCATAGTCTGACACGGCAACCAATGGGTTAATAATCCTGTGTCATAATTCTTAAACTAATATTTAGAAAAACTAACTACAACCTCTCATTTTTTGAAGTTGGTTAAGTATAAATATAAAATAGTCAGTTAACTACATAATTATTATTGTGATCCTTACCCACATTGCTAACTTTGGAATATTTTATCCCTCATTTCAGGCACAAGTAAATTGGGATCCAGTAGACATGACAGTTTTGGCTGATGAACAAGTTGATGATCTTGGTTGTTCATGGAGGTCGGGTGCTAAAGTTGAAAAGAAATACTTAACTCAGTGGTTTATAAAAACAACAAAGTTTGCAAAAGCTCTGTATGATGGGCTAGATAGTGAAGAGTTGGAAAATTGGAAAGATATTATTAACTTACAAAAACATTGGATTGGAGAATGTGATGGAGTTATAGTGAGTTTTAAACTCGAAGTTAATGGTGAAATGAAAACATTTGATGTTTGGACTGCAGAACCTTATAAATTTATTTATGGTGATTTCGTAACAATGAATTCTAGTCATCCAATAATCCAGGAATTGAAATCTCATAAAAATTTCACACTTGTATGCTTGAACCCTATATCAAATCGTGAATTACCTGTTTGTATAGTTGATGATGTTAACTACCCTGAAGGTAGGAATGTCTACATTGGATGTTCACAAGTTGATAAAGAAGACAAAAAAATCGCTAATCTTTTAAATGTACCTATTAGCAGTGAACAATTGAAAATTGATATTGAGAGTGAAAATAGCCGGGCAGTTGATATGGCACTTAACAAAAATGTTGGTGGTCACTTTGCTAGCTCGAAACTCAAAGATTGGCTTATATCTAGACAAAGATATTGGGGAACTCCTATACCAATAATTCATTGCAAAACATGTGGTGCAGTTCCTGTTCCTTATGAAGACCTTCCTGTAGAACTACCTGAAATTGAGTCTAGTACAGGTATACAAACATTAGAAAAGTTAGAGCATTGGAAAAAATGTACATGTCCTAAATGTCAATCTAGTGCGATAAGAGAAACTGATACCATGGACACTTTTGTGGATTCTTCATGGTATTATTATCGTTTCTTGGATCCAACTAATGAACAAATGCCATTTTCTAAAGAACAGGTTATTGATCACATGCCTGTCGATATTTATGTTGGGGGCAAGGAACATGCTGTGTTGCATTTATATTATGCTAGATTTATGAGTTATTTCTTGCATTCACTTGGATGGACACCAACTAAAGAACCTTTTCAAAAACTAGTGGTACAAGGAATGGTAATGGGGCAATCTTTTAAATTGAAGAGTTCTGGGAAATATATACCCCCTGAACAGGTTGAAAAGGTTGGAAAATACTATAAAGAAAAGAGCACAGGTAATGCTGTGGTAACACAATGGGAAAAAATGAGTAAATCTAAATACAATGGTGAAAATCCGGAAAGGTTACTTGCCACATATGGTTGTGACACTACTCGTCTTTTGATTTTGGCAGATGTACCACCAGCGACACCCAGACGCTGGTCAGATGCAAGTGAGTATAATCTAAATACTTGTGTTTATCTGTGTGATTGAGGTTACCTATGGCCCAATACTCCAAATCTCCCAATTCCCAAGGCTTAAATACTGGAACAGTCATAATATCAAATCGTTATTATATTATATCGAAAGGCAATATAGAAGATAAACACAAAGGAGACCGGCAAAATGGCAATTTTAATATCTTAATTATTTAATACTTATTTAGGTCTATAGTCACCCTTATTCTCAAAAGTCAAAAGGCCAGCAACATATGCACGTATGTTGAGTGTGGGAGAGCCATGTGTCGGCACGAATGCAACTAGCAATGCCTCTGGTATTCCGGGTGTCCATGGGCGACACCGATTGCTTACCATCAGATGATCCGTCTAGACGTTTACAGGCTTACGCTTTTAAAAAAAAACGTATTTATAACAATAACATCTCTAATGATACGGCTGTCCAATGGGGGCTACCGGTTTTTTGCTCACCAATTCGCGCAAATATATAGCAACACTATCAAATTCCATATTGGACAAAAAACGAGAGGTTTGCACTAGCGCCATCTGGTGAGCAATACTACAGTAACCATTGCCAATGGGTAGCGCCGCACTAATTTCATTTCATAGCATGCATCAGGAAATCCATTTGTTCCTTTCCCGCCATACCACGATGCTTAATTTGGATTTACTCGAGCTTCTTAAGGATTTGGAAGATAGACGACAGAAATAAAAAAAGGGTTTAATTACATCCGCAGACCTTTAAAATTTTTAAGCGTAACTTTTGTTTCAATGGTCGAGCTTGTTAGATATTGATTGTGTAATATGCTCCATGTGTCTCTGATAATTAAAAAAACCTAATTTGCACTGTGTACATGGTGGGATTGGTTGAATGTAGGGAGGAGGATAGGAGGAGAACGACCTCTTTTCCCCACAGTCCATGTAATTGGGATGATGACAGCCGACAGGATGTGATGTTGTTTGATGTGATGTGTGTTAGTCCGTAAGTTAGGTACTTAATTAAAAAATGTTAGACACGTATTTTTTTATTTTGTCGTATAATAAAACAATACTTAGATAAAACGAATTAAAGTTTAGGAGTGGGGCTAAAACGTCATTTCTACGTATAAAATGTACATAGAAGTGACGTCACGCGATATTTCAAATCAATATATCGTCGAAAGTATTCGTTTCTGTAAGAAAATCGGACTTTGACTTTTTGAAAACCTACTAGTAGAGTGCGTTCGTTTATTTGTACAAAACTTTTTCAATATTTTTATTATTCAATTCAATATATTTCGCCTAGTTTTAGCTATTCATACAGTTGCTGCATATACTTCTCATCATGAGAAGTATACTTCTCGACTAGAGACTTTCAAAAAGGTTTACAAAATTTAAGTGTCTTTTTTTTGTTACAGCATTACCTGGCGTATTAAATTGGCAACATCGATTATGGATGACCATGAGGGAATTTTTGAATCATCGTAATAACGTACCTGTAGAGACTACTTTGACTCCTGAAGAATTTCATAAACATGAATACAAAATATGGGATTCAAGAAACTATTTAATTGCCACTACAACTTATCATTTCAAGCACACTCAAAAACTAAGTGTGGGCATTTCAAGACTCCAAAGTTTGACTAGTGTTCTAAGGGTAATTATTTTCCTTTCATTAGTTAAATTAACGTCACATACATACATTATTTTCGTCCTCTAACAGCTCTGTAGATGTATAGATTGTTTTTACCACTTCTGTCTATTTAGTTGATAATTGTCAGTTCAGTCTAATTTGCTAGTCCAAAGGCGATAATCTAGTCATATCTGTTTTATTTAGAGATCTGTTTTTACTTAATTAGTAGTGCTTCACTGTCGCCCTATCCACTCGCTTACTTGAGATTAATGTTTTAATTTAATATTTCAGAATAAAGTACCGCCTGAAGTGATAACTAAAAGTAAGGAATATGAAAAGGCTTTAGCAGTGTTAATAATTATGCTGGCACCGGTAACTCCCCACTTTTGTTCTGAGCTGTGGGCTGGCTTACAATCTGCACCCAATAGATTGACAGAATCATCGAATTTGGTTGATTGGGAGAAATGTGTACTCGAACAGAGTTGGCCAAAAGTAGATGAAAGTTATGAGTTATCATTTTTGTGTAAAGTGAGTATTTTTATATTAATTAGTATTTGTATTTTTATATTAATATCTTTGTAAACTACACTTTTTATGTTATGAGATTTATCAAACTTCTTTTAAGTAATTAATAAATAATAAAGTAAAATTCACTGTTTCAGGTTGATGGGGCAGACAGATGTGAACTTAAATTAAAATCCAGTGACCTCTTAAGTCTAACTCACGAGAAGGCAGTACAAATGATGCTAAATCAGGAGTCTGTCAAAAAGAGACTTACAACTGAAATACATAAGACTAAATTTGAGTTGTATCCTCATTGTCGTGCAATATTACACATCTATCCAAAGAAAAAGAAGGTAAAACAAGAAAAGGTATCAGATTCTGTTGTTTAAATGTAAATATAGTGTAATTACTGTTGTTTCGTTGAATAAAATATAAATAAATAAACATGAAAATTTTCTATCTATTTAGATATAATCTGACTTTTACAATGATTTTTGGATTTATTATTTGACAATACTGCAACAACTATGAAACATTGTTTAAGTACAATCATCGTCAAAAGATTATCTTCAACACTTCTCATATCAAATAGTTGTAATGAATGACTTTTGTATGGACTTTCCTATAAACGCATTTGTTATGCTTTTCAAGGGGTAGTCATAGTCAAAAGTCCTTCACCGTTATTAATACCTACTTTAGGCCCTGTTTCACATTATCTGGATAGCCGTATGTAACATTTCAATAAGAACGTAATTTGTATAAACTATCTGTCACATATGTTGATCAAGTTGTTAAACAGCGTGTGTCGTAAATATGAAATATATAATACGTTCAGTATGTAATTATTGATGTTCCAAATCTAATTGCCCCAGTGTTGAGTTTATAATTGTTTTACTTTAAAGATTAGAATAGAAACTTCCCGCTGATGATATTATTTTCGTAAAGTGTATAAGTGTTTAATGACATAATAAAATTATTTCATATTTATGACACACCCTTGAGGCCTTGACACCTTGTACGTAGGTGGTACGCTTAAAGTAATTTACTCTTATATCTAGAACTCTACAGTGCGATTGGATGTTATCTTGTGCTTCTCGCTTTCTTGCCTCTGAATATTTCGTCCTTGTACATTCTGATATTTGCTGCAGAATCCTAAAATAGAAAAATTGTCATTACAACACTAATAGGGTAGTTTCCTCAGTCAAAAATAAATTATTTCGACCGACCAATACACCGAAAATGTCGTTTTCGTGACGCGGCAAAACAACTTGCCACAAGGAGTACTTTCGATATATAAAGGAAAAACAAATAAATAAAGATTACATTTTTCTAAAAATTCATCGAAAGACGCACATGAGACACTATATATATATAACTTTGTGGGCACTACTTTTATCGCACGTGCCATCTACCGAGAAATACCTACCTCTTTGAGAATAATAATTACTAGGGGTGATGTTTTGAAAATGTATTATGAGTTCTTATACGCTATTGAAGTTTGGTGTTTACAATGGTTCATCAGCAATTTTTTTGTTTTAAACATTTTATTTCTTTGTAAAACTATTGTATTACTAAGACAGAACCATTTTACTTCAGGACGAAAACTCTATAAATTTCACGGTGTATTTTAAAATATTAAAAAAAAATTACATTTTCATTAATTGATTTGATGATAATATATTGTTAATTTTCATATTTTTATGGGGTTTTAATAATGAAATACACTATTTGACATACAGATATTGTGACGGTACGACAGAAAAACACACAATAACTCATATTTAGAAACTGTCCACCTATTGTTATAAAAAAGAATCAGTTTAATTTACTTATTTTCTGACATGCTCAATATTCGTATTATTCCAGAAACTTAAAAACAGTATGCTACTTAACGTGCAATTATTATTACGTCACAATACCCTAATCTCGTAGGTAGGTACCTACAAAACATGAATTAAATATCTTTTGACATTCCGTAAAAAAAAATTTTATTTGACTACTAGCTTTTACCCGCGGCTTCGCTCGCGTCACAAAAGGATAAAAAGTAGCCTATGTGACTATCCATCCGCTCAACTACATTCAGTTAAAAAATCACGTTAATTAGTACCTCCGTTCTGCCATTTAAGACAGGCAAAGAAACAAATAGCTTTCCGCTCGCGTGGAATTCGGTTATATCGCGCTATTTAGATTTTTCCAATAAGTAGGTAATTCGTTGACTGGTTTTAAATGACATACAACGCCATCTATACCAGTATGCCATCTATACAGCGCCATCTATATGGCGCTGTATATACTACCAATATTTTTGTTTTTCCTAGGAAATATCAATTTTTCCGGGATAATAAGTACCCTATTATTTAATCCAGACTTCTAACTTTACGTCTGCAAAATTTCAAAGCAATCGGTCTAGTAGTTACGGCGTGAAGGCGGAACAAACAAACAAACTCACTTTCCGATTTATAATATAAGTAAGGAAGTAAGGATACAGATATCCCTGAAGTCGACGATCAAATGACACCAGGTAATCGGCAAGGTTCCAACAGTCATCACTATGCCATTTAGTCGTCGACTTCAGGGACACCCTGTATAAGTTGAAATATTTGAAACACCCTAATATTAATTTCACCAACTTTAACTTAATTTAAAAATAGAAAATAATCACACTAAGCATTATCAGTTTTAAATCAACCTACATTTTTTAATTGTTTTAATTAATAGTTGTGCGATAATGATACTTACTCATATAACCAGTAGATAAATCAATGTAATCATTAATTTTATGATAACTTAAACGGTATGGTATATTTACTTATATAATATTATAATTATTATATGAAACATTTTTTAATGTTGATAAATTCTATATTGCGCAAATTTTCCTGTTCAATCACCACTAAGGTAGGTAGGTGATTTCGTAAAATTCGTGAACATATAAATTCACATCAAACCCAGCGAAAAGGCTACCTACTCGTTATTTCAAAAAGGTCAAAGGCCTTTGACTATCTACCACCACTACTACTACTACTACTAAAGTAAATTATAAAGCTGAAGAGTTTATTCGTTTGACAGTTAGCACTGTCTCCAGAATTTAATTATTCTCCAAAATTATAGATATCTATATACCTAAAACATCACGCTGCTATCCATAGAACATAAGCAGCTGGTGAAACCATGCGAAAAGTAGATAGTATAAATAATTAATTAATCGTTGTAGCTATCACCGAAGTTAAGAATTTTTCTGAAAAAACTAAAAATAATCTTTAGAATTACCTTCTTGGCTTCTCGCCACTCTAAGTTCCGGAGGCGACTCAGTCCTTTAAGATTACGATCTAATATTTTTAGGAACTCGGCTCTAGTAATTTTCGGTGACTCTGTGGTGCCATTATTTGAAGGATCTGGAGTTGTTGTCACTGCCTGTTAAGTTATAAAAGATCATTAAAAACCTCAACATAGAGTAATGAAATATTACTTCTTCTTTTACTTTTTACTAATATGTGTATGTTTGTTACTCAACCACGTCACAACGGCTGTGGGGATCGGGATGCAATTTGGAACAGGGGTAGATTATGGAATGGAATAATACATAGGTTACGGGAATGCAAGCGAAGCGGCTGGCAGAAGCTAGTTATTAATATAGGTGAATTAGGAGGTATACAGGATTTTTGGTACAATAGTTGACACATTTCATAAGAACTACTAGGCTATTCTTTAATTAATTGTCAATCAAAAGTTCGAACTTTTGAAGTGAGCTCCATATAGCCTAGCTGATGTACTGAGCACCGCCGTGCCCTCAGAGACGTGATCAGCGACGGCGACCCCTCGCGTCCGGCCCTAGCGTCATCATGCAGAGTGAGGGGGACTGGAATGCCGTCTTTTCCTTTTGCGAAGCAGTCATGCTAGCTAAGAAGAAAGCGAGGCGCATGAGGCAGCGAAGCACTGCCTCCTCACGACCCAGTCGTCGTGAACGACACTCCGGGCGTTGGGGATCGCGGGAGTATCTCCGGCCACCGTAAGCACGGGCCTGTGGACGGCGAGCATGGGTAGCTCGCCGCCCGACCAGAACCAGACCCGAGCGTGTGGCGCGTCGCGTATCGCATGCGCCTCAAAGAGCTAACAGACAGCCACAGATGGGGCCCAATGGAACTGATGCCGATACGGAGCCGCGGAGGACTTAACGGGTTGCCGGGGCTCCGGCTCGAAGGGCAGGAGTAGGAACGGGGTGGTTTTTAGTCAGTAAGAGTCTGCCACTCCCTCCCGCCTCACCTAGGCGGGAGAAGTCATTCGACGATTTTCCCCCCTTAAAAAAGCACCAAATAGTCCACAAAATTGTGTCTGTTGTTGAACCAGATACCCTGTAATATATTAATTCAAGAAAATTTATAAGAGCTATAAAAATTAAATATTTTCCAAAAAACAGTTTTCTGAAATCTCTACTTAATTGCCGAAAACTCCTCTTAGTACATTAGCTACTTACCAATAAAGGTCTCGTTAAGATTGGTCATTTCAGAGATTAGCCAGTACAAACTTACAAACAGTCAGACAAAAATTGGAAAGTGTTATTTTGTTATTTGTATCCTATGTATATTCATTTGCATGTAGTAAAAAAATCAATATTACAGACAGGCGCTCCAATTTTATTTATCTGTATACTCTGTATAGATTAAAATAAAAGCGTAGACAAACGTTTCATTGGCCACAACCACATTCTCTCTATACTCTTTATAACCTAATTAGGTATTCCAAAAAAAATCACAATGTAACTGTACTACCGAAATGGAGATGTGATTCATTGTGTTATTGGGAACGTGCCTAATTATATTAGGCACTTATAATTGCTCGATAATAATATAGGTAACTAATGCAAATCTAATTAATTATCAAAATTTTAAGTATGGGAGAGCCATGCTTAGGCACACATGGGCCGCCTCAACCGGGGTGATACCACGGCCTCACAGAAAACTGACGTGAATCAACGCTTACGTTGTGTGTCGTCGTGTGAGTGAGGTTACTGGAGGCCCAATTACGCCCCCCCCCCATTCCCCAGTCTCCCCAATTCCCGAATCCTCCACAATCCTCAAAATCCCAATTCCCAAAAGGCCGGTAACTCACTTGAAACGCCTCGGTGTTTCAGGTGTCCATGGGCGGCGACGATTGCTTACCATCAGGTGATCAGTCTGCCCGTTTACCGGCGTACCTTTACCATAAAACAAATCTAATAACTTATTTACAAGAATTAAATCTAAGTTGGCACAATTGGTCATAATTGAGATATTAGTTAAATAGGTATATTAAATTAATCTAAAATTCGATACTTAAGCCTATGTGTAACTAACTTCCGTCAGCAGTTTTGGACAGAAGAGAATCACGCGATTCCGATATTAGGTCGTCCACTTTAGCTGTTACTTAGGCACTTTTTATTGCATAGCTTATGTACTTACATTGTCATCCGCAAATTGGTTGTTTACTAAGTCAGATATTTGATTGTATGCGCTTTTAGTATCGTTTATTTGCTGTAAGAAAGAAAAATGATTATTTGCATGGGTTAAAGTGACGTGACCATTATTGGCCAATATCAACCAATATACTAGCTTACCTAATACCGTAACAGTTCTACTCGTTACAACTCTGAAGGTCTTCTGATATTTTGTAACCGTATAGACATGTTCGTATGCACCTCTTACTAATATGTTGTAGTAAATAACAATAACCTTCATTGTCAATAACAATCATAGTAGACTGTACTTATATAATGTAACTACCTATTAACTTAGCACTGTATTTAAATTCTTTAATAATTAATAGATAGGTACGTACCTCTAAAATGACATGAAATATAGTTCCAAAAAATCCCCTTTTTGGAGCCGCGGCAACGTGTCTACCTGCTCTTATAGCAGATTGTCTGGCATTACGATCTTTTTCGATGATTTCATCGGCTGTTGACTGAAAAATCACATAATATCTGTATAGCTTAATTTATATACCTAATGATATTATAGGTACATTCCATTTTGAACTTCACCGAGATTTTTTATCATCGATCCATGCAGTACTTTATTAGTTTAGTATTGCATGAATCTAGTGCCAGAGATACTCATGAATCTCAAGCTCTGCTCAAGGTGTTCAACTATAAACATAGAATACTAACTGGCTGGATACTGAGGCATGGCGATATAATAGCGATGAGTACGATCGTTACTAAAACGTAATGCTGCGCACCGGGTACCATGGCTGATCTTCACAATAGGCAGTGACGCCTCCCTTGAATAAAAGAATACATAAAATAATTAATGATTTAATATAAAACAAACTACTTATACAAGTGACTTGAAACTACGTATTTCTGTCAGAACGAGTTACAATACAATAGCTCAAATGCAGCTGTCGCTGACTAGACCACATATTACATGTCCGGCCGAAAGTTAACGGGTTCCGAGATACCTATTGCGAATTTTGTATTTTTTTTATAAATATTTAATTTTGGTAGGTAACTAGGTACAATTAAAAAATATACACATGGTATGCGATAAGTCGAGTTTCAAATTATCTGTATTACATAGTTAGTATACCTACGCTGTAAAAACATTATCTAGCGTTAGTAGAAATTAAGTGGTGATTTACTTACTAATCAAATGTGGACAATAAAAGTAAATGAAGGTAAAAAGTAAAACACAAAAATTGTGATATAGGTACATTAGGTACCTACCTATCACCTACATTGGATAAGGATGTAATGATCCAGAAGTAGAAGCTAAAATATTTTTTGAAGCTGATTTTATTGTCTCATTGACTCATCAGCGGCAGAATATAACTGCGCTGTAGCATATTAGTATTGTTATCATTATCAATTTATCACTGCATGCTGCTGAGACTGTCGAATCCATTGCTAATAAATAGGAGGTAGCTAAAATGATTAATATATTCTGTAAATTGAAACTTAAATTAATAACCGTTCTCAATTTAAACTGTCAAACACCAAGCGGTCACCGGTGACCGCGACCTATTGTTCTTTAATTGTATCTATAAAACCGGTACTCGACGAGTTAAAACCAGTGAATTAAGATAAATTTTTGACATTAGTTGTTGTTAGGTATGGAGTTTCTCAATCCAGAGATGATGAGATGGATCCAGATCAGGTATTATTGTCGACCGCTAATCACCAGCCACTGATAGGTGAGACGTCGGTGCCACAAGTTTTAAACAAAAGTTATTCTTTAAACCCGTACCAAATACCTTATATTATCTAAGCTGTGTACAATTTTATGACAGATTATAACCATGAATACCTAACCTAAGATATATATTGTTATGGGCTTGTGGCACTGACTTCTAACCTATCAGTGGGTGGGTAACCTATAAGTACGTATGACTAATAATAGTTATTTTTTGCTTTTTAGTTTTGACCTTTTGCTCGTTTTTAGGTTTTGGTTTTCGAAGTCGGGTTTTTTACAGTTTTTTTTTTATGCTTCTAAGTTTAGTCGGGGCTATATAGACCGTAGACCCAGTATACCTACTACGTATATCCCACATAGGTGTAAAGCTCTTATCGTTACGAATTATTCAAGCTCAAAAAGCAAGTAAACAGTTAATAGTAGCTATTAATTGTTTATAAGTACCCTTAGCTATCATACTACTTTATCATCAGGCTCCTAATGAGTAATGACAAGCACATCCCATTTCTAGGTATAAAGTTCTCACCAAACAAATTTATGAAGCCCAAACACCAGGTAGCTACTGTCAGCCGTTGAGGAGTTCCCTTAGCTATCATACTCCTTCATCATCAGGCCCCTAATAATTATCATACCCCATTTAGGTGTAAAGTTCCCATCACTTGAAATTAATCAAGCCCAAACACCAGGTAGCTACTGTCAGCCTTTGAGGAGTTCCCTTAGCTATCATACTCCTTCATCATCAGGCCCCTAATAATTATCATACCCCATTTAGGTGTAAAGTTCCCATCACTTGAAATTAATCAAGCCCAAACACCAGGTAGCTACTGTCAGCCTTTGAGGAGTTCCCTTAGCTATCATACTCCTTCATCATCAGGCCCCTAATAATTGTCATACCCCATTTAGGTGTAAAGTTCCCATCACTTGAAATTAATCAAGCCCAAACACCAGGTAGCTACTGTCAGCCGTTGAGGAGTTCCCTTAGCTATCATACTCCTTCATCATCAGGCCCCTAATAATAATCATACCCCATTTAGGTGTAAAATTCCCATCACTTGAAATTAATCAAGCCCAAACACCAGGTAGCTACTGTCAGCCGTTGAGGTGTTCCCTTAGCTATCATACTCCTTCATCATCAGGCCCCTAATGATAATCATACCCCATTTAGGTGTAAAGTTCCCATCACTTGAAATGAATCAAGCCCAAACTCAAGGTAGCTACTGTCAGCCGTTGAGGTGTTCCCTTAGCTATCATACTATCTCATCATCAGTCCTCCAATGACAATTACATTTAATCTAGATGTAAAGATCTTCTCAATACAAATAATTTAAGCCCAAACACGGGGTCATTGCTACAAATTCTCGAGGAGTTCCTTCGGCTGTCTCTTGACTCCATCATCAGATCATACCTTCATCAAATTGTAGTAGTTTCAAATACTTTGTCATCAAATTAACAAACGCTTTCGCCACCCATACAATTTTGAAAAGTTCCCCTCGGTTTCCATGGGATCCCATCATCAGATCCTGACCTGGTGGAAATGGGACCACCCCGAGAGTATGACCTTTCCAACAAAAAAAAACATACAGCCGAATTGATATCCTCCTCCTTTTTGAGAAGTCGGTTAATTAAAACAAACTCGTACTAAGCCCTCAGATACTCCAAGTTGAATGTTCCACAGGGGAGCCGGTGAAATTTAAGTTTTCATAAGTTTTTTGCGATTCGCAACTCGTTACCCCTGGAACATTCAACTTAGGGAAGAAAATAAATTATTACCTTCTATAAGATGAAAATAATGACAAAGAAAGTGGTAGGTACCATATTCAAGAGTACCTACCTATCAATGAATATTCCTAAATATGAAATTATAAATTTATAATGATGATTTACGGAATGACGAAGCTAAGTATAGTTCTACACTAAACTATAGGCTCTTGAACATGTGACATGTACGTACTCATTAAGTGCATCTAACTTTGTAGTTATATTTAGTACCTACCTACTTGCAGTTACAAACTACCTATACCTTTTTTTTTCTCTCTCTTTGGCAAACGAGTCTCCAAAATGATCTTGTCGACTATACTGCCAGTGCCTACCTATACCTATTGCATGTACTAAGAAAGGTGACATTAGCTTAATGCTTACGAAAATGACGTCCGTCATTAGGTTTACTTTCGCATTTACTGTTCTTTCACAAATGCGAATGCACTGTGCACCTAAAGATGAAGTAATATGTAAAGCTATGTACGTTCATACTTAACCCATGTAATGATAGATAGTAGGTAGTAGACATTTATAACTATAAATGTCTACATACGAAGTAACTACTTTTATGTTGTTTTTGTTTGTTTTTACTACTACTTTGTATGTAGACATTTATGACTATAAATGTACAAAGTAGGTACCTACTATCTATCTATTATTTCATAAACGTAAGTAGCCACTATGCTACTTCATATTTACTCTATACTACTTAAGTACTACCTACTTTTACAAAAAACAATAACAAACTTGTATGTTAGGAAAACAAGCTGTTATGAATTAAACTGCTTTTGTTCCATAGACTAGATAAATGAGTCAATAACTTACCTAATCTATTTAATTAGTGGTAACCTATCCTTTCACTCACATTACAAAGAGATGCATTTCATATACCTGCACTTGACCAGCCCAGACCCGGAACAACAAAGTGGATCACACAAACAGTTGCTCCGTGCAGGGAATTGAACCCTTTACACATTACGCGGCATGGCATTCTGTTACCTAGCCACCACACCAAGCACGTCAAATTGTTATAAAATAAAAGCGGTAATAGTAGGTACCTACCTACCAGATTGCCTTTTTTAGGAGCTTTAGAACCTTCGGAATTTGAATACTTATCGATACGGCTAGGTAGTTTATTATTAAGTAGGTGTACCCTTCTACGAAATCAATCTCTTTCGTAACACACAAATGCGGAAAACCAAACCTGTCTTACAAGATCAACTTCACTTTTCCAAAGTTAAACGAATGAGTGATATGCCTTTACCTATTGCTTATTTTATCTACCTACCTACCAAGCTACTTTAGCCAGATAAAAAGAATATTTGATACAGCACTTGACAACTGCAAGCATATAGTTAAGTATCAAAGTACGTATAAGTACTTAGGTACTTGCACTAACATATTTTAGGTAGGTATTTCTCACGTGCCGTGCAATGCGTGCGAGCGTTGAGATTTTTTAAACCAAAAAGAAATGACTTCTTTTTTTGTTTTTACTTTATAGGTACATCGAAAGTACTCCTTTGGCTAATGTTTTGCCGCAGGACGAAAACGAAATAAATTTAGTGTGAGTACCTACCTTTAATAAGTTTAACATTATCATATAATTTTTTATCGCATTGCTTGAGCATAGTTAAAATTTTCAAAATCATATTTTGTATTTCAATCAGCAGAATTGTTAATTTTGGGTTGAGGATAATGATTAGGGTTACCACCCGTACTTTGTAATTAAGTATTGTATTTTATTTAAGGTAATTGTTGTGGGTTTAAGACGCCCACTTCTCATGCATGAGGGTGCGGGTTCGAACCTACCAACGGCAAGTACCAATGTGACTTTTTCCGAGTTATATGTACTTTCTAAGATTATTTAGACACCACTGACAAACGGTGAAGGAAAAACATCATGAGGAAACCTGGACTTATAATTTCTAATTATAAGTTTGAAATCGCCAACCCGCATTGAGCAAGCGTGGTGATTAATGCTCTAACCTTCTCCGTGTGAGAAGAGGCTTTGCTCAGCAGTGGGCATTTATAGGCTGTTGATGATGATGATGAATTGTACTCTATATTTTATAAGAATAATAAAGTACACAAAAATACTTTATTTTTGCAAACTTCATTTCTATTAAAGTCGTAAGTATTTTTCGGTAAACTCATTGATTCGATATCTATATTTATCGATTTATGTTGAATCGATAACTCGCCAGCGCCACTTAGACAATTTCTAGTATAGATGCAATTGTTTAGTATTTCAATGCAATTGTTTAGTAAAGGTACTAATTTAATACAAACTGCAAAAAGC